ATATACATACGTGCATCCAACGAACGAGCCCGGCCAAAAATTAATTCCTCGCGATCGGTAAAAATGTCCCCTCGTAAACTCGCGGAAATCCTCCCTTTCTACTTTACGGCGGTGCACATCCACGGGGTGTACGGTATTATTACCTGTGTATATTATACCTGGGCTCCTCGACGCGGAGCTACCTCGTAAAACTATCGATTTGCTCCGACTAAATGAAAGTACTCGACCGCGTCTTTAATTACAGGCCCATGGGGAGTTCACTGGGCGAAGCTTTTTTTTCTTTTTCTTTTTCGAAAACGAATGGAAAAGCTCGAGCTTTAGCCGAGGATCGATGTATAGCAATGGACAAATTACACGTGGGTGTATTTACGGTACAAAATAGAGAGGGGCGTATGAATTGTACGTTATTTGGCGAGGGATTGGTGATTTTCGGAGGTAAGTAAGTGTATATACGTAAACAAGAAAAGGATGAAATACCTATTTGAGAGACATTCAAGGATACACTGGCAAGTGCAAGCGGTGCATTGGTATAATATACGTACAGGCGTGAGAAGAGAAGAGAGTATACATGTATACATAGGGTGCACCGATGTAGGGTATAGGGTACTTAAGAAAAGAAGGAGCCGTTAAAAGTTGGGTGGGGAGGGGGGAGGGGGAGGGGGAAGAAACGTTAGCGGGGCAAAACAGTTTCGGCGTAATAGGCAAAGTTGGCTCTCTCTTTCTTTCTTTCCTTCTCGCGCGCTGTCGCCCCGGCTCTTATTATTTTATATTTCGCCGGTAGGTATATATAGCCGGCCCCGTTGGCTCGAGAGATAACAGAAATTACACCGCACGCGAGCCATGGGCGCTTCCGCGAGGCGAAACAACCGTTACACCTACGAAACTTTAATTCGCCCGAGACGAGCCCCGCCGCGATTTCATCTGCCCTTGCTCCACCTGCAGCTCGTATACATATACATACACACGGTGGTTAACCCACCAACAACGCTCTCCTTATACTATCACATAGTTATATATGTGTACTCATTTGTGGGCAAAAACACCTAACGGACTCTGGCTTTCTTTCTATTTTTCTTTCGACTGGCGCAAGCACCTCTGCGACTATTATCCGAGGGGGAGGTTTTTCATCTCGCAAGCGCCCAAGACATTATACATGGAATTATGTATACACGTGATTCGCCGGGGGGGGGGAATATAATGACGATGATTGCTTTCGAATGGGAATAAAATCTTGGGACGAAGTCTGAGGAATGATATGTATATATACAGCAGGGTTCCGGGAAACTCGACACTCGTACGAGGAAAGGGAGCGAAAAAGCTCGGGTGCAAAAAAAAAAAAAAAAAAAAAAAAACCGAGGTAATCGCTAATGGCTTCCGCGGAGATGTGTATATACTTAGACACGTTTAAAAAAAAAATAGGTCTGACTGTGCAGCCCGCAAATGAACGTCTGTACGTGGCAGTGTTGGTATATAAGTATGGATGATACACATGTACACAAAGTGACACAGAGAGAAAGGGAACGAGGATAGTAGGGGTAGGTGGGTGTGGGGGCACAGGTTGTACATATATATTTATATATATGTATATACATACGCGATAGGTGAAGCCGGGGACGGTCCAGTGATTAATTGTGTCACCCATGATTACATCACGAGCCCGGCCGTATACGTCCGAGCCACCCTTACTCCGTATAAGTACGTGCACGGGTATATGTATGGATGATGATACGTGTCGGCAGGTACCTCTATGGATATATATAATATACGTGTATACCACGTACCTATGGTTGTATACGAGTACGATGCGCGTGTACGCGTGCCGTGTCCTATGGTGCAAGCATGCGAATTAGATGGACATGTGTGTATATGTATGTATATACGTGTTAACTATACAATGTACGTGTGTATGGATCTACGCGTGCGAGTCCGCGTGCAGTGGGAGAGCGATTCGTTCATCCACCTCGACGTGTACATACCCGCGTGCACACGGAGTGGCGCGTGACCGTTGCAGGGGACTGCCACCCGGTGAGGCCGATGCAACCGGGGGAAGCCCCGTGATTTCGATCAAACTTTCCTACCATGTGTACTTTGTGCTTCATATATACCTACCTTTGGCAATAAGCTGCATTTCAGGCTACATGTATAAAAATACGCGCCCTTTACTTTTTATTCAATTTTAATACTTTTCTCTTTTTTTCCCTCCCTGCGAACGGCTCTCAGCGGAGAATCGATAAAAATTGTACCGTAAGCTTTTTCTTTCTTTTAGTTTTAATATAGCAAGTGAACGTCTCTACGTGTATGCGTATATTTCGGATATTGAAAGTACAGGTACCTATCACTGTGCTTCGAGAAAAGGAACAAATAATACGATACGTCGTTGGATATCAGCAAAGAATTTTGAAATTATTTCCATGTGAAATAGTTTTTCGCCTTTATCGCACGCATATCGAGGGGATAAACAATGTTTTTACAACTCTTCGGTGTAATTTGACAAGAAAATACCATCGGCAGTTTTTCCAGGAGACTCCAATGGTTTTCCAGCAAAGAATTAAACTCTAACTGGATAAAAGTGTGTCAGAAACGTCTCGGATCTCGCCTTCGGCTCCAACTAGTGACAAACATAAATAGATTTACACACGTGTTCTCGAGTCAAGTATTTCTTTTGGAAACCACACACGTACTTTAGTACAGTCGTATACGGACGCACACAGCTCGTTAACGCAATTGTATATGCATATGGTAGGGCCACACAACGGCGCACCCAAGAAGAAGGAACAGAGAGCGAGAACAACATATCCACGGAAGTATAGAACCAAAGCCCACACGTGACATGTTACCTAGAAACCTCCTCCATCCAGCGCATCCACGGCAATGGCAGAGTATTCTCTGGTCGAGACAGATACCGTGATGTTACGTTCGCGCACACACGTGTGTATCCACCTCGCTGCCCTCCACCCCCTTTGATACACTGCACGGGCTCTGTTTATGGCGTGTGCGCGTGCATGCAAGCTCTCCACCCCCGTATATGTATAATATCCACGCATTCGTCCCGATGCATCTCTCGTTGTGCTCGTTATATTCCCCTTCTTTGGCTCTTTGTCGGATTAATTTTTTTTTTTCAAGCTCATTGTCATATTACATTTCAGGCAAAGCCAATGGAATCCTTCAATCGTGTATAATGACTTGACTCGGCTCTTATGGCGTTTATGCAATAGCTGACCTTCTATTTTTTAGTTTTTTTTTTTTTTTTTTTTTTTCTAACGAGCTCACTTTCGAGCGGAACGGGTCGTTCTCGTTACAATCGACACGGTTCCTCCCGAGAGGGTCCTGCAAGCGCCAAAGGTCAAAATAAGGCGCGATCTCCAAGTACAAGTATCGCACTTTGGTGTGTAGTCAACCCACTTATACTCGGAAAGAAGCCCCTGTACACCCACAACTGCAGCGGCGCACTCGTGCATAAATGAATTCCTCCCGGGGAAGGAGATGATGTGTAATTAACGAGCCAAGTTTTCGGCGATAAATCGAGAATAAAGCGCGCGCGCGACTCCTCGGGAGGGAGGAAAAAAGGAATATATACTTGCTCCCGGTGCGTGATATGAAAAAGTGCGCCGCTAGAGAAAAGCGGGGGAGGCGGAGGGGGGGGGGGCGTCGGGCTCGTTTGCAAAAGTGCGAAACTTCCTGCACCCGATGTTAATTGTAACGTAATGTATGTAAAGCCGAGTGCAAGCGACTATGCAGTTATATACATACACCCCCTGCATAGAGTGGGTGTGAGGATCGAGGTGGAGGTGTGTAAGTGTTATGACACCAGGCACGGCTATAGCAGCACCGAGTCGGCGGAACTCGGCCAGCGTCAGAGAATCGCACCAGGGCGATGGGGGGGACCGGAGAAGTGAGAAAGAGTAAAGCAATAACATCAGCCACCGAGACTCTTGGAGGCTGGCCAAAGTGTCGCCCCGGCTCCGCTACATTATGCCCATTATCTACAACTTATCTCTCGAGGCGCACGCGCGCCGTGTACGTATATTTCACAGAGAGCCCGCACCTTCCACGTACACGTTACATAATATTATTGTACGGGTGGTGTGTGTACATACAGCGTTTCACGCGAGAAAACGTTTGGCTTTCTTTTCCCCCATCCCCTCCGCAGAGAGAGAGATAACTCCGAGTATAAACTTTGACCGTTACAAATCGTGTTTTGTAAAACGCGTGGGTATACATGTATCTGTATAACGAGCACGAGGTCCATCATCGCGTTTCCTTCCTCTCGCCTGACCGATGAGCAATTCATTCGGATAAATTGGAAAGTTAATTGCGAGACGCGCTCTGCTCACGGCAGAACTGCATTTTTCAACCTGCCGACGTCGCTGCTTTTCTTTATACTCGCGCTACTTCTTTCTCTTCCCTTGTAGTATACTTACCTGCCCCCGTCTGCACTCGTTTCAAGTTTCAGAAAACTCACAGAGCGAAAATTAATTAGTCGTCTTTCCTCGACGTAGACGTGGACGACGGGCGTTCGCGTGAATTTTAATTAAATTTTAATCGTGACAAATAATTTCGTTTTCATTGATTTTCCAGTTTTTACGCGTCAACGTATATATAATTTTTCTACCAACGGGAGACGGGGTGATGCTCGAACGTCGTCTTCGATTGTCAGGTTTATACCTCGGTTTACAACTGTTTTCGGAAGATGGATCGATGAGGGGGTTTCTGGCTGAAAATTAAACATAAGTACAAATTATTTCATAAATATTTATTGATATTTCATCAACGTCTTGGCAAAAAAGAATCAAAGCTTTTAAAAAATGTATAGCTCGAAGATGAGAAAGCGAGTGAAAAAAAAAAAAAAAAAAAAGTAGTGCCCTGGTTTATCACAGCTCAACTCGCCCGTGCAGTCATTTGGTTTTTGCGCGCACGTGACTCGGTGCCTCTATAATCCTTCATTAGCACGCAATTTAAACACAACATGTGGTAGTCGAGCTTTATGCATCAGGACCGAGTGGGGCTCCTCTGTCCGAAAATTCAACCAGCCAGGCGTGGGCGACGTTAACCGCCGTGTAGCGTCGAAATAAACGTCACAGTGTCGTTCGGCTTCAGCACGTACTCGCCCTGGCCCTGCGAATCACACAAGCCGGAGAAACACGAATAGTTAATCAGAACTCTGCTTTTGATTTTTCTTCCTCCTCCCTCTCTCTGTTTGTGTGGATACGCTGTTTTATGCCTCCTTTTTTTTTGCTCGAGCGTCCCGGGGTTGACTTTCGAGGGAATTGTCGGGGGAAGGATGGATATCGGATGAATGGGTCTGGGATTCTTTTTTTTTTTTTTTCTTACTCTTTTTTTGTTCGGTGGCTCTCTCTGTCGCGTGATCAGGCCACTTGTTTGTTTTCCAGGGAATATTGTTAAGAGCTTCATTATCGGTTTCTTGTCTCTCGGCAAAAAGTAAACATTTCTATCCATTTCCATATTCCCGGACTGTACTTTTATAGGAATGTAAATAAAAAAAAAAAAAAAAACGGTAAGCAAGAGTCAATCTTTCAAACTTTTACTTCGGTATCAGCGAAGCGCTGGAATATTTTTGCGAAAGAAAAAAAATGGAAAGAATGATCAATCGCTGCTAATGTACAAGTTACTATCTTCATGTTAATTTTTCATTTTAATTCGATTTGATTTTTTTTTAAACTAATACACATTTAGTGATTGGTATACAAATGATAAATTGTAAAGTTAAAATAAAAAAGTGGTTCTTACATATAGTTCCCAGTCTGCGTCGTTCACCAAGACAAGAATTCCTGGCCTCCTGAAAATAGTTCATAACACCGGATAGTTTATTATTGAATAATTTTAAAAAACGCAGTTATTTGTACAACACAGAGTATTACATTGGCTCAAAGTCGCGGAAAAAAAAAACGCGTAATGAACTGCACAGCTGCTGCCATCTAACGCACGTCTCGTCTAACTGAACCAACAAACGTGAAAATTGATTTATCATACCATCAGTCATCTAACTTATCATTGACTGATATGAGAGTGATGCATCTGTGCCAATTTACAAATTTATGTAAAACTAATCCATTTTTTAAAATTAACATCTAAAATATTATTCCATCTATATTTAACATAAGTTGTTACACGCTTGTAAAGTATATCGACTTATTCACTCTCGAAAAATTTTTTACAAAACATATTAAATGAAAGTATCAGCTCCATCTGTTTTAAGTAGTACATTTACTCTATAGTCTTATATTAGTCAGCATATCACGCAATGTAAATAAAAACAGCACGTAGGTACTCGTAAGAAATTTGTGAGAAGTGTATATAAATAACACCCATATGTATACTTATATGTATTTAGTTTTGACGAATATTTAAAAATATTCAAATGAGTTACTTACACTGTATCTTCGGAGACAAAAAGTTCTGGCCTCTCCGATAGCATATTATCACGCAACCATAGGATCAACGTATTTAATGTCCCTAATAGCCATAAACATAAATAAACATGAATTGACAGAAAGTATAGTACACAGCAATAATCCTTTGAACTTACATTCTTCGTCTCCGGACAACGTAATACTGTGTTTTTTTTTATTTTCAAACAACAACTCAGCTCCACCTCTGAAACAATAAAAAAAAAGAAGTTATACAAATTTTAAGATTTCCGTGAGTTACATTTGAAAATAATAAGAGAACGATTGAGCAGTTTCATCAGAACAAAATACAAACAAAAACGATGAAAAACATGAAAAGTATAAAAATGTGTGGTCTTAATGACGAACAAACGTTTAAATACTTATTATTTACTTATTTGACCGTTTAAATGCGTCACATGAGAAAGTATAGGTTAGAAAATTGCCGTGTTGTTTAACTACCTAAATTCAATTGTCAGTGGTAGCCCAACAATCCCAGCACTATTACTCGTCATAATTGTTGACTCGTGAGTTTTCTCTCCTGATCGTCTTCTTTCTCCAACAACAAAACAATCAAACAAACTTTAAGTACTTTGCCGAACTGAACGCAACAATGAAAACAAACAAACATTGACACGTTACGATTGACGTGCCGTGGCGCGATTGATCTTTCAAAAGACGCGCCCGACTCGCAGTTCACACGGTCCACCGTTTCATCAAATCACTCGCGTGATAAAAAAGGGCTGCTGCGATTTCATTGGATCGGATGTCGGGTGTCGGGCGGGCATTTGCCTGCAGAGGAAGACAGTGTGCGGGGGCATGGAAGAGGTAGGAACAGTAGGAACGGACAGCAGGAAACAACGTCGACTCGGAATTCGAGACACTCCGCTCAGAGCGCGATGATTTATCGCACGTTTTCCCTTGCCAGTTAGTCAAAAGAAAAGCAAAAGCCTATTATTTCCCAGCCTCTTCAGGGAACGTGGGTCGGCACAATCAAGAGAATGTCGACCTCGACGCCGTAAGTGCTGGACAGAGACCAAGAGCACCGAGGAAGCCTCAAGGACGCCCCGAGGGAGCAGCGGAGACGCAGGTATATATACGTATCAACCGCTTGCCCAGCCCCCCCCAGAGCAGCGGTAGGTGGGGGCCATTGATTCGCGGTAACTCCCCGCGTGCATCGCACGACGTCGGGTTAGAATTCGCGAGCACCCGGACAACTGTCGCGTGTGTTAACCTAGTCGTTGGCGCAGTCTTCCCCGTTTCTGGCGGTTACTTTTGAGTAGATCACGCGTGTGACGAAAAAAGCCGGCGTGGTCGCCTGCACTTGTCCTTATCACTCTTATCTGAAAGTCCGTTAGACATGTCAGAACCGACAGCTGAGCCCGTTGAGTCGGTTCAGCAGCTCGAAGAAGTCGAGTTGCAGCCGCAGCAAAAACAAGTGGAGGGACAAGCGAAAGAGGAGGCAGAGCTCGTTCAACCTGAAGAAGAAAAAGAAGATAAGGTGATTGTCGAGTCCACGGTTAATGAAGAACAGACTAATGAAGTTCAGAAGCAACAGCAGGAAGAGATCATGGAACTACAGCCTGAAAATGAGTCATCTGAGCCTGAGCCTAGTGGATTGACTTTAGAGGACCCACTAGAGCAGAAACCTGAACATCCTGTGGAACAGGAGGAGCAGTTAGATAGTGAGGAGGAAAATCAAGAAAAAGAACGTTCTTCGGTAAGTTTCTCCACTTATCTGTATATGGTATTCATGGTACCTGTTCTGTTTTTATAAATATGAAAAACAAATGAAATTCTTTTGTTTTTCTAAATTTTACATCTTTTGAAGCTTAGATGATCAATAACGCAATTGTTATCGCTCCTGAATTATTCATGTCACAGATTCACTTTCCACTTATTTATTATTACACAGGAAATATCACATGGGTCTCAAGACACTATTCCAATGCCTGCTGAAAGTATGTTACAAGAAAGAGCCATTGAAGATGAGGAAATGCCTGCAATGGTTGCCGTTGATAGTTCTCAAGTAATTGAATCAGGTGCCAACTTCAAGCAAGAAGAAAGATATAGTCCTAAGCCTATGCCTAAAAAAGTTGAAGATAGTGACAGTGACAGTGTATGCGTTATAGATGATGACGACGATGATGAATATGACAAAGGCGAAGAGGGTGAGGAAGAAGAACATTCATATGATGAAGACGAGGATGAAGAGGATTATGTAAGTTCTTCGTATGATGACGATGATGAAGAAGAAGAAATAGAAAGACAACGGTACAAAAATAACTATGGTAAGATACAAATGCTTGTATTTTCTATTGGTAAATTTTAACCTCATCTTTTACTGAACTATTGCAGATAGAAGACAAACAACAAGACCTGAGAGAAAAATAGAAAATGAAGATGATGATGAAGATTATGACGAGGATGAGGAAATGGAAGATGACGATGAAGTAGAAGAATGTTACAAAGAAGACGGCACAGAAGATGACTCCGGGCCAGATTATTTTGATGGTGGTTCTGATGATTTGGTTCTTAGGCATAGTAATGGTCTTAACAAGCAGGTCAAAGAGCGAAGTGCTTCACTACAGGATTTAAGTTACTCTAGAGATCATTCAATAAAAAATAGACGTAATGTAAACCCCTTAAGCCAAAAAGCAAGATTTGAAAGGAATCAAGAGCGCAAGGCAACTCCAGGAAAATACGATTACGTTCAAAGTAAAGTCAAACAGTACATAATAGACATGTCAGAACAAAGAAAAATATCAACTGAAAAACGTAAAAAATCTCAAGAAGAAGTCAAAAATAGGCAAGAAGAATTACTTGGTAAATATCCATAATTTTTTTTACAAATTTGAATTTTAATGATTAATCATTGACTGCTGTTGATTACATGTGTTACTTATGTTTTGTTTATTTGTTTTTTTTTTTTTTTTTCAACAGAATCACAAGCGCGTAAAAATGAAGAGATGGTTATGACTTGTAAAACAATAAAAAATTATACAGAGAAAGCTTTAAAAGAAGTAGCAGAGGAAAGTAACCGGTTTTACGTCCCGCAGCCATTTGACAACGGTGAAATAACTATTAATTTCTTACCCAAGCAAGGAGTAGATGATAGACAATCAGCAATGAATCAAGAGTCAATGGACGTAGATCCGATTGCGATTGACGATCCAAGAAATGACGGAAGAGTTGGTAGGATGAATGGTACTGCTACGAATGATGATCCAAATAACTATGTAAACGCTAAAAAAGGCATACGCAGGCGTGATGAATTTTCTCCCAAATTGTTGGTTAATGGAGAGGATTCTGGCAACGTTTCTAATTTACGGTCGCTATCTTACGAAGAATACATGAAAGGTCCCTCTAATGAGGAATTTATCGACGAAGTTATGGGTGATGAAAGAACAATCAATCAAATACCAAACATTACTGAAAAGTGTAATAACAATGACGTCGACGAGCCACCATGTATTCTGGAAATTAATAGTGTTACAAGTAACTATTGCGCTGCAGAAAGAATAGATGAGGAAGAGGATCTTCAAAACAGAAAAACTCCCGTTATGATTAGTCAATCGACAGAAACATTTAACCAAGAGCATCCTGATGTTCATATTTTAAGGTCACAGCTGCATCAGCAGAACGGGCAATTCGAGAACCTTCGAAATATCTATCAAAAAACGTTGTCGGAAAACATGTCAATGAAAATAGAATTAGACAACTTGAGAAAGATCGTTACGTATTATCAAGAAAAAGAAAAACTAGTGCCAGAAAAGAAGACAGCTGCGATCCAAACTGACAGCAAGTCGTCCGGTCCAGCTCTTAATATGCCGCTCATCGACATAGATTGTGAAGATGACGAACAAATCGATCCAAAATCGGCCGTCAACAGTATGTCAACAATTAACACACAGTGGTCGGATAGTACAAATAGTGTCGCGCCCTCAATAGACCCACCACCCAGCATGAAGACTGCCTTATTTTCAGACGATAGTGTAACAACGCAAGGCAGAACGCCTAAGCCTAAGAACCCATTTTCTCGAGCTTTCGTCACTTCAAACAAAATTCTACAAACTCTGTCGAACATCACGACTGGCAAAGCAAAATGGGACAGGTATGGCAAGAAAAGCCCTAGTCCCAAGCATCAAATTCCTGAAATTGTGATAGATTCTGTACAGTCGAATCAACATAGTAAAGCTGGGCCATCAAGGAAACGAAAAGCCTCCGACAATATCGATGAACATGTTCAGCCATTCAAAGTTCCTCATACTACTGCCGAAACTCAAATCACTAATCCCAACGACGAGGATAAGACGATTGATGATGGTAGTGCTACTTCACAAACCACAAAGCAGTCAAAAGACACCCAAGAATCGGATGAAGACGTAAAAATATTTTTGTATCCAGAAGATGAAAATGGTAAGGAGCACAGCTTTTTGATCCAAGCCAAGGAAGTGGGCCCCAATCAGAGTAAAGGAGTTCGAGAGTGCGGTCCTTATTTATTGGGGAACGTTGAGGTGTACATGACGGAAGTAAACGGTACAATCAACATATGGGGTAAAGAACTAAATCAGGATTTCATTAACCAAAACCTAGACGAATCAGAGTCGTCGCCGCGATCGAAAAATGCGAAAATGGACGTCCGCTGGCAAAGCACTCCTCGTATGTTAACTAGAAACCTCTCAGCCTCGACGAGCAAGAAATCGAGGGTAGTACCAAGATTCAATCAGCAGCAGCATAATCACTCTTGTGAGACAGTCAACAGTGTAGACAACGAGCTGTATAATCACCATCATTGTCATCGAACTTTGGTGCCAGCATGCTGCCAGAGTCACGAAAATCCGCCTTGTTGCTCTCGAATCAGAGTCGAGGAGGACTACTGTGGTTGCAGATATCAGACCGACAAGCGCAACACTAACTGCAAATCCCACCTTCAAGATCTCGGTAGGCACTCTCTGCCCAACGTTTATCAAGAATTGGCTTGCTGCAACAGTCGCCATAGTCATTGCAGAACAGCTGCCGCATGCGGTAATCCATTCAAGCAGAGGTCTTTCGTGAATCAAAACTCCGAGCCCACTGACGACGAGATCGAATTAGACGAGGATATTTTACAGCTCAGCTCGAAACTCAATCAGTCTCACAAACAAAACACCCTGCATTCCCCCAGCCCTAGTAACGAAACTAATGAAAATGACAATGATCCGCTCATTCCTCAAAAACACCATTCAGATGAGCCAGAGGTATTAAATATTGTTGAAACTTCTCAAAATCATCTAATTCGTTATTTATGTCTGATTTTTTTATTTATTATTTTTTGCAGACGCGTAAGCAGAAATTTGGCGGCAAAAGAGTGCGAGGGATACTGTTAGATTTGTTGAAAATGAATTGCGGAGACTGTAAATCAATGGACTCTGGGACCAATCCAAGTACTTCGATGTACGAACCAAGTCCTGCTATTTTAAGAGCTGTTGCTTGTTCGCCGAGTCAACCGACTTGTTCATCTCGTTCTAATGAAAAGTATGTTGGAAAAAGCCCATTAATGTTTACTGGTGACTTGTCCAAGATGAATAATCATGAATATATTTTGTGTGATTTCAGATGCTCAACTTGTCGCATAAAAAAAGATAAAGCTTCTGAGTTGCAAACTCAGCTAGAGTTCTTCCGTAACGAAATTGAAAAAATTAGCACCTACTCGGCCACGATGCGCGATAAGTTGGATTCGTTGTGCAAGGAGGCTAAAGAAAAATAAGTCTAAAACTTTAAAAGTTCTTTGTAAATAGTTGGCAGAAGAGGTACAATTTTTTACTTTTCCACATGCAACCTAGCATGATTCCTTTTTAGTTTACATTATGTATTTGAAAATAAAGTATTGCCAATTTAAAAAATTGTCACACTTTTTAACGTAACTCGTAAAGTAGAAAATTACATTTTTTTAGTTATATGTGTAACAAAGAAAGTGTACATAGTTTTTGCAGTTTGTTAAGTTATCTGCCAATAATTTTATTTCATTCTTTTAAAAATATACTTATGTTAAGAGAAAAAGAGACAATAAATACAGATTTCAATAAGAAATTTAGTAGTTGCAATCACAAGAATCATAACCAGGCGCAGGAGATTCTATTTGCGACACAGTCTCGCATTGCTCTTGACCTTTAAATATGTTACTGTACGATACTTTCAAGTAATCGACATGTCCTTGCAACGATCTTATTCTACCCTGAGCCTGTTGCAGTGCTTCGTTCAGGTTTCCGATCTGGCTCTGCATCTTCTGCCTTATCTCGTCTCTTTCTTTCTGCGCCGTTTTAGCCGCCGCTCGACATTGCGCCAATTGTATTTCAAAGTCGCTAATTTGTGCTTGCATGCTGCGTTTTATGGCCTCGCATCTTTCTTTAGTTCTTGACACTTGCCTTGCCGAATCCTCGCGTACCTGCTCTAGCATGGCCGTGAGCTGAGCTATCTCGTGCTGCTTCTCATCTTGACGCTTTTGCATGCTAGCACATTGCTCTTCGAAGCGTGCGATAGCGTTTTTCATCCGCTCATTATCGGTACGCAGCTCGCTATTCTTCTTCTCCAGTTCATCGATGCGGCCACCACCGTCATTCTTCTCGTCCTTCGTGAAAATATGAAAAATTAGTTTGACCTCGCAAATAAACCACATTAAACAAAACAGTTACCAGAAGCGTTTGAAGTTCTCGCTGCAAATCATTTATTTGCGTTTGCATGGCATCAATTTTTTCTTTAGCTCCGAGTAGTTCTCGAGACAAGTCTTCGCAATTGTGCTCGGCTAGCATTCGCAATTGCTGAGATTCTTGCAATTTCATCTGCGTCTGCTTCAAGATGTCGGGTAGCGGTGCTAGTTCAGCTAGTTTTTCTTGAAATTGGTTCTACGTACGTTTTTTAACAATTAATTTTTAATTCATACACCAAATCAATGATTATAATACCTTCACACGACCGATCTCCAAGGTAACATTTTCGTTCATTCTAGCGTTGTCCATGTCCATCAGATCAAGCTGCCGCCGCTGTTCTTCGACGATCTGCTGAGCCTTTAGTAAATAATTTCTACAATGCATTTTCATTTTTTTTTACTGTATATAATCTTGTAAAATCTCAAAATGCACTTGTAAATATTTATTCTGGTAATCGTCCAACTGCGTCGCCTGGTCACGTATCATGGTGCGCAACTCCTCAAGTTCGTCTTGTGCTTCTCGGAAGCGCTGTCTCGCCACTAGCAGAGTTTGCTCTTGCTCCACGAGCTGCTCCTTGGTGCCTATTGTAACAGTAAAAATCATCATTATTCAAACAATACTTGGGTCAATTTTACCTACGCTTTCAATGCACCAAAAAAAAAAATTCTACCATACCGAGCAGATCGTTCCGTTCTCCCTCGACCGCTCGCAATCTCTCTTGCGCGTCTATCAACTTGATTTCGAGACATTCGCGCTCTTCCTTGGCTTCGCGAGTCTCTCGCCTCAAAGCCTCCGAGTCGGTTCGCAGCCGCGACACTTCGCACAGTTTGCTCTTGTAATCGTCTTGGAGGCGAGCATACTGTTCTCGCAAATCTCGAAGTTGCTGCTCGACGCAATTCTGCGTTTGAAAATAAACGATTTTTTATATGCTCTATTTCATAAAATAAATTTTTTTTTTTATATACCGGCAAGTCGCTGCAGGGCAGGCAAGGTGACGAGTCCTTAGTGATCTGTTGACATTAAATGAATTAATATAATTTTCAGAATTTATGGGCTCAAATTTGTATTATAAATAAACACATGAAACCTTGGACGGTATGCTGGGAACTCTAAGTGGTTCAGGACAGCCTGACCGGGTACGGGGGTTAGCGCACTCGATTAATTTTTTTTGCTGCTCCAATTGATCCTTTTCTCGCTCCGCTTTCAATAATTCCGTCATCAGAGTTGCGAGCTCCTCTCTCAGGCGAGGAAACGGATCTTCCTTTACGAGCAATAGTCTACTGTTACTTTTTTTTCTCCATACCCTGGTTATTGACAATTCTTGTTTGCAACGACAATAATTATATTTAGTCATAATTTATGTAACCTCCTGATTTGTGTCATTTCCACAGGCATTGGGTCTTCTTTCGATCTCAGTGGGGCACGTGTGTTCGACGCGGCTCGAAGGAGGAGGAGGAGGTGGTGGTCTCTGAGGACAGCCGCTGGAATTTGCATTTCGGCTGTGCATATCTTGGCGTTGAGGAAAAAAACAATCGTCCCCAGCTCTTGAGGCTCCCCCGGCTAGTCGCGCGCAATTCGGCGATCGTCGCTCTTTACACGCACTGGGAATTCCTACATTGATGGAGTTTAATTTTGTTTTTTAATAATTTTTAGTTATTTAATTCTATTTCAACCAGTGATAGCGCAAAAAAAAAAGCATGAAGTGTACAACTTCAATGGACTAACGATAATCGTTTAAAATCTTGAGAGCTGTACCTACAATTCCATTTTTATTTTTTTGTAACTATAAAGATAACTTATATTTTTGCAGATATTAGATCGATGTTAGATTTGTACACGTATTTATGACACAAGTACTTTTAAGCTGAGTATAAGAATGAGAAGTAAAATATGTATGGATAGCTCGCATTTGAATGAAACGTGTAACTCAAAGTAATTTTAAACTATCCTAATTTCTGATGAATATAAAATAAACATTCCCAAATTTTATTTTTATGTACCATCTTCAAAAAAAACTTTTCGTGCGTTATTTATAAAACAAAATAAAAAAAAAAAAAAAAACGATTGGGAACCACTTACTGCTTTCGCATCCGGGAGGTGTTTCGAGGGGCGGCTGAATCGTCTGTTCGGCTCCCCTTGCACTGCACTTGCACGAAAGATCCTTGTGACGATTGGGCGAGTGTTCGGGCCGTTGTGGCGAGAGACAAGGAGACCTAGAGGGAGACGATGCCGAAGTTGCCGGCCGCGATTGGGGCGAAGAGCAACGCGACTGTTGCTGTTGCTGCTGAATACAGTTGAGCTTATTATTTAGCTCAGAATTCTCCTTCATAACAATACGAATATCAGCCTGTAGGCCACAAATTTTTCGTTGCAGACATTCCACCGCATTGTCCTTTTCCAGCAGCTCCCTTTGTAGCTGATATCTACGATGTAGTGTTTATTATGTTTAAATTAAAATTTGTCCAGTGCTCGAGTGATCGAATCTATTTTTCAAGAGCAGGAAGTAAAACTAGATCAGAGGTAATGTCTGAATATGAACAATATACAATTTTGACAATATTAGGTTAAGAATCCGAATGACAGATGAACGTGTATGCAAAAAAAATTGAAGTCCTGTCTTAGACGTATACGCAGTCTTTTGTCAATTAAATACAACGTTCCATTGGAGTTTTGAAAAGTCAAAGTAAGGCAGTTTTGGCACTGTACGATTTAAAATATAGGGTATGTACTTTCCACCCTCCAGCTGTGCATTTTCTTTGGCCATTTTATCTTGCAGCGACAGAAATTCCGTCAGTCTGCCTGTTAAATTTTCAATGCACTTTTTCCCCCGACTTTTCGGCCTGCTGTCCGCAACAACTATCTTCGGAATATTTTCTTCCGTGTTGCCGCAAACAATGACCCTGGGTAATCTTTAAGGTGTTAAAATATATGTTTCTTTTGAACTAGTTGTTGAACTAAAACGAAAGATGATTATCATTGTTGAAAGTAGAGTTTACTTGTCCTCGGGATAGTCGATTTCAGGGAACGCGAACCTCTCGCAAGGTTTGTCGGGCTCGCAAGTTTTTTCACACACCTTTTTACATTTGTCCTTATCCTTATCCAAAATTAAAACAAAACATCAATTACGTAATGCATATATTTTTACGTAATTGTTTCTACCTGATGTGGATAAGGCAACATGTCGAACATTTTTGCAAAAGTTCGCGTGGACGGATCCAAAACACCGATGGTTCGTTCCAGTTTGCGGGTAATGTTGTTCAGTTTCGCGACATTAGACATCAAGCGCGTCTGCACTTCCCTAAAATTAGCCGTGTCTTCTACCGACAGTTCTTCTTTCTGTAATAAACGTCATTAACGGTACAATTTTCCTATAATTTTTACATCTAAGCACAAAAAGAATATACATCATCGTTAACATAGACTAACTTGAGAAAACTCTTGAATGATATCCTTGTCTTCTTGTATGATCTTCTTTATGGCTTTCGCTTCCTTTTGATTATTCATAATTTCTTCAAATACGCAAGGATCGGTCAGGGGAATCGTGCTCATGATCGAGTCGCTGTGCTTATCATTTGGAACCACGACACCTTTTACCAAAGTATAACGAAAATTAATTTGACTTACGAATAAAATAATATTCCACGTGTATTACACGTCAAGTACCTAAACCCAAGTTCGGAGGTAACGGATAAGCCGGTGGTTTGTTACCGGCCGCCTCCCCGTCCCGAGCGTCCCGACAGGCAGCCGGGGCTGCTTTGACATTTTCTATCTCTCTATTTGGCGCTTTGGCGGCTTTGTTACATCCATCTTCCGCCTTCGAAACTTTCTCTTTGTCCGCCATTCTATCGAGAAAAAAAAAACCCTCCCCACAATTAATTTATCACTCGATATGACGTTTGTTTGCTCTTTGTTTCAATTTCTCACTCTGCAATGTCCTTCTTCTCGGCTTCTGGCAGTACGGGTGAAGAATCACCAACTGTTCGAAAATCACCAGACTTCAGTTCGGACTCCCCTTCCGAGTGACGTGCGACTTCGTGATCCTGCCCAAAGAAAGATAAAAGTGTTAAAGGCACTTTCATCTAACTAATAAACGTCCATGACAACCAACCGGTAGAACGAGGTGGGGCTCAACTTCTGGGAACACCGGCTTGAGAGACTCGATAAAGTCTCCGGGTGGGGCGAACTCGTACTCCGACTCCGAAGTTTCTTCCTTGGCTTCCCGCAGAGGGATCGGACTGACGGGTAGGTAGTCCTCGAACTCGAGTTGTATCGGCTTGCGAAGGTCGAAGAGCGATTCCAAGGATCCAAAGGTTTCCCGGAAATTCTGGATTGACGACGCTAGCCTATTAGGAGCCAGAGGCTGTTGAGAGTTCTGCGACGTTGGCTTTGAATTAGAGGCGCGCGAGCGGACCCGCGGGAGTCGGCTTGTCGGGGCGATGCTCGTCACCGAGCGCGCCTGGCTCAACGTGCAAGTCTTTCGCTTCTACATGGATTTTAGGTGATAGCTCGGTTATAGACGACATGTGTACACGCTTGAGCGAAATTAAATCAATTAAATAAATAACACCCGTGCCTATGTTTCAATGAACGATCTTTTGAACAAACTAGGGAGAAATGTGACTTTTTGCAAAGTATACCTTCATTTTTTTACCTTCGACACGCCGGCGCGCTTTTCAACTTGGTTTCCTGGCCTTTGGACGCGTACCAGTATCAAATGGCGTCAGAAGAATTTTTGCGGTGAATTGTTTTTAATGTGTCTTAAAAATATTTGGCAAAAAAAAAAAAAAATGGTTCCGAAAAAGTAAGTAAAAGTGACATCAACTGATTTTCACGCGGATGTCGCAAACTGACGGCTTGGATATCCAGCGCTCGATTGTTTCACGACATCGCAATATGTACAACGCGCAAATAATCTTCAACCGACTGAATGTTTTGTATAGGTATATTGGAATAATATGTACATCTACTTAATTGTTATATAAACTGATGATTTTATATATAGCCATCGTTTGAACTTCAGATATTTTCAAATAATCTACATTTTGTCAAACAATTCCATCTGTACTAACCATCTTTTTCGAGATAAGATATTATATTATTTTAAAATCCAAAATGGCCGTGGAATGTTTTGTAAACATGATTGCGCGCGAAATAGTGAAGTTGAAGTGGAGCAATAACTTAATTTACATGTAAACAATTTTTATTTTTATTCAAGTGTAAATAGTGTAAATTATCGAAATCATGGCTCAGAGTAAAAAAGATCCGGCCTGGGCTGACTGCTGCGAAGATTGGGTAAGCCCACAACAGTTACTCTAACCTCAAATAATCTCTACTTCAACTTCGTTTTTATTTTGAATTATTGATGAACGATGTCAAGCAGCTTTGATTTTATTGTGTAAATAAGCAACTGATGCATAATAATATTTGTAGGGAGGTTATATGGCTGCTAAAAAAGCTAAACTAGAAGAGCAGTTCCAAGAGTCAGCCCAAAATCAATTTGCCAATCCTACAACACTTTTCAATGGCATTGCCATATTTGTCAATGGATATACTGATCCTTGTGCTGATGAGCTTAAACGCCTCATGATGGCTCACGGTGGGATTTACCATCATTACTTGAGATTTCAGACAACAACTCATCTGATAGCCTCAAATTTGCCTTATTCAAAAATTATTGCCTACAGAAAAGCTAAAAATCCATTACCTTTATGTAAACCAGAATGGATTACAGACAGTATTAAAGCAGGAAAAGTACTTGATTTTAGAAACTACCTATTGTATTCTCAGTGTACAAAAAATCAGCCATCTCTCATGTCTCACGTTGTTAAAAAAACTGAGGTACAGGTTGACCTTCAACAAGATTTACCAGAACGCCCCAGTTCTCCTATATTGAGTAGTACTAAAAGCCCCCCTACATTTTTTTCAGTAAGAAAAAAATTGGAGCAAAAAAATGAAACAGTTACTTCTTCTTCATCTGCATCGGTCATTGCTAATAGCACCAAAAATCCTGCATTTCTAACTGAATTTTATAACAATTCGCGTTTGCATCATATTTCAACAATGGGAGCAATGTTTAAAGATTATATAAGTGACCTTAGAGACAAGAATGATGGTAAATTTCCTGGGTTAGAATCCTTGAAAAAAAAGTATAGTAATCAAAAGTGTAAAGGTGGACCATCAGTTACAGCAGATGATTCAAATTCAGATGAAGATTTATTTGACGATGATGAATTTTTTCCAAAAGAAAATTTAATTGTTTCGATCTCGAACGATAAAAGTCAAATTATAATGCACATTGATATGGATTGTTTTTTTGTATCTGTAGGTTTACGCAAAAATCCTAATTTAAGAGGTTTTCCCATAGCAGTCGCGCATGCAAGAGGTAATAAACAAAGTGGATCTAATGATCCTGAGGAATGCAGTTCGATGTCAGAAATAGCTTCTTGTTCATATGAGGCAAGACAAGCTGGTGTCAAAAATGGCATGTTTCTAGGTCAAGCTTTAAAACTTTGTCCAAATTTAAAAACAATTAAATACGATTTTGAAGGATACAAAGAAGTCTCCTATGCTTTGTATCATACAGTTGCTTCATATACATTAAATATTGAGGCAGTAAGTTGTGATGAAATGTATGCAGATTGTACAAAAATTTGTCAATTAACTGGTGCAAGTCCTTTAGAATTTGCCTCCATACTAAGAAATGAAATCAAAGACAAGACTGGTTGTCCTGTGTCTACAGGGTTTGGAGAAAATAAATTGCAGGCGAGGCTGGCCACTAAAAAAGCAAAACCAGATGGTCAATATCATTTAAAAGGCGCCGAGGTTAGATCTTTCATCAGAACATTGAATGTCAGGGACTTACCAGGTAATTATTTTTTTATTATTTCAATGGCACTTACCTTTTAACATTAATATATGATGGCACTAAAGGTTGATATTTACAACAGGTATGATGTAACTTAATTCTGATTTTTACGAAATGAAAAAATAACATTGCAATCATTATTACTTTTTCAAGGTGTTGGGTATTCTACTAGTCAAAAACTACATCAAATGAACATTAAAACTTGTGCAGATTTAGAAAAAATTTCGTTATATGAGCTGCAAAAAGAATTCGGTAAAAAAAATGGTCAGCAGTTGCACGATATGTGTCGAGGTATCGACCATAATAAATTAAATTTAGAACACGTAAGAAAATCTGTTTCTGCAGAAGTAAACTATGGAATTAGATTCGAAAACACGGAAGCAGCACATGAGTTTCTAAAAAAATTAAGCATAGAAGTTAGTGACAGACTGAAAAAAAATAGTTTAAAAGGAAGATGCGTCACTCTAAAAGTTTTATTTCGCTCAAAAGAAGCGCCAAATGAACCGAAAAAGTTCATGGGTCACGGAATTTGTGATGCCTTTAATAAATCAAAAAATTTAATTGCTGCCACCGACGACCCCATAATAATCACGAGGTACAATTTTCTTTTATTTTATTTATGTGTACTAAGAGAAAAAAATTACTATGATTTTAACTTTGCAGAGAAATCACGTCTTTATGGAATCAGTTTAACGAAAATCCACAAGATGCAAGAGGTGTTGGAATTCAAATGACCAAGTTGGAGTCCACAAAAAATAAACCAGCTGTAGCCACTCTTTTTAAATTCATCGATAAAATGAAAGAGCAAGAAAAAGTTATCAAAGAATCCAATAATGTTAGTCATTTTATCAATGTTGCAGGAGAAAATGAATCTGAAATAAAAGAAATTATTGCAATTTCCAATAAACTCCAAAACAAAACAATAACAGATCATAGAAAGTCCAATCTACAAGATAGAAATAAAATTACGTTGAATCTAAAAAAGGAAATACCTGAAGTGATTACACTGGATAGTGATGATGAAGATAGTTCTAATATGGGTGGAAAAACTATTAGTGACGCTAAAATCGTGATTTGCGAGTCAAACAATGAGGAGTTTAAAAAGCCGGTGACTAATCAATTAAAAAATCCTAGTCAATTCAAGCAAACGAAGCAACCGGAATATTTTAAGCAAATAAAGCCAAACGCTAATAAATCTGGTAAATTTGCAATGCCAGATATTCAGGAAGTCGATATGAAAGTGTTAATCGAACTGCCTGAAGAAATTCGCAATGAAATTCTTAATGAATATGCAAACAAGGGAAACGAAGAAGCTAGAAAAATTCCAGAAAATCCTCAAAAAAAAGTCACAGCTAATTCACACGTTACCAACAAAGAAACTCAAGCGGACAAAGATATATCATTTTCACAAATTGATCCAGAATTTTTGGCAGCTCTACCAAATGAAGTTAAAAACGAAGTCAAAAACTATTGTGACTTGAAGAAAAAACAAAAAAATATTCAGCCAGAAGAAAAAATAAATAATAATTTTGGCACTAGAGGGTGGAATATTTTCGAAAATGAAAAAAAATCTAACAAAAATGTAAAATTAAAATCAGGAAGAGGTAGAGGGCGACCAAGAAAAAAAATTCCAGTTTTTCCAACTAAAGTTATAAAAGAAACTGAACCAACTTCAAATACAACCAAAATGCAGACAGTAGAAAATATTTTACCTGAAGAAAATGAAAACCCTGCAGCATTAAATTGCACTTTTCATTTTGATCGTTCGAATGGAAATTCAGAGCACTCTGAAATTTTATCTGATTTGGTGAATTGTCTTCTCGCGCTTCCGATTTCTCAGATAAAACGACAAATTATGGACTGGATAAGTAATAATACCGATGTAAACGACGTCGACTTCCTTTCCATGACTACTTTTCTTGGTACTCTACCACGAAAAAATCGTCTTCCAGATCTCTATGTACTTTTAAAGTGTCTACGCAGGTAAATCATAATATTTTAAACAATTTAAAATAAAAATTCTGTTGACGTAATAAACTGACTCAACTTGTTTTCCAGATCTGTTGTTGAAAGAGAGAGTTGCATCTGGCATGAGTCTTATAAAAAAATGTTGAAACACATTCAGGATCGCGTGCGCGAGGAATATTCTTATGGATTGATGATTCCTGATGAAATTGAGTGTGATAAGTGCAACAATAGTAGTACGTGATAGTTAAATTATTTTTGTACATAGACATTTGCATACTCAATTAAATTATTTTGATACGATTAATTGGGTGAGGTATGATAGTAATAATAAAAAAAGCATTTAATATAGACGGAATTTTATTTATTTAAACGAAATCACAATGCCCGCGCAAATTATTTTTGCGTATCACGTATGAAGTCTTCGCTTGCTCTCTTTGAATGTGTTCGTGTTCGTGTTTGTTTAAACACTACTATGTAGTTCATTCTTTACGATCTAATCAAATCTTTATTTTATACGACTATTAACGGCAATTACTGTGTCTGTATGTATGTATGTATGAATGCGTTGGGATGAATTTACATGGTACACAAAATCATAAATTAAGCACAGACCGACGAGTAAAAAAATTTGAAACATAAATGCATGAAAACGTTTCTATTTTCTCGTACAAAATTAGATGTCTAGTAATTGTTAAAGCTGAAAATTTGGATACACAACAGGTGTACTGTATATAAAATACAAATCAATATTTAAATGTCGAACTAAAAGTTCTTTTATCTAAAAAAATTGGTATTGTTTAAAAGGAACCATGTAAATGCATCTGAATCGCGTGTGCATGTGCGTGCGTACGTGCGCGTGCGAGTATGTACGTTATTTTTTTTTTTTTCCGTTTTATCAATATTGTTTTTATATGCTGAATCGCATGCGAAAATTATACAATTCTGGTAGAGCACTGGCACTTGACAAATGTCGCGCGGACGAGGGCAAAAAATCAAAATAAGTTTTAAACAAAATAAATCACATATACATTTTGCTTTTTGGCTTGAAACTCACTAGACGCACGCATCAAACAATAATAAGCTAAATGCGGTAAAAAAATATATATTACAAAATGGTGACGAGATCTAACAAATCATTGGATTGATAATTCAACTACGTAATTATGTAAAGTGGTGGTGGAGTAAGGATTAGGAGAGTTAGGGAGGGTACGAAGGACTATATAAAAAGTGTGGCAAATGTCACGCTACAATTAACTTTTCGTTCCCACTGGCCGCGCGAGAACGATTTGTTGCTTCGAAAATCTACGTATGATTATATATTGCACTAATTCTTTCAAATCACCAGTTACGTGGTATTTGTTTTTATGTGTATGCGTATTTTTGTGTAGATGTGTGTGTGTGCTTTTCTCATTCCACTGTGTCCTTGTGGTCCGATCTTGAGTACAAGCTGGCCATTTCATATTTATAATAAGCTTGTACCTGAATCGAACTCGATGATTAACTATATGAGTGTACTTTTGGCTTTAGTGTGCCTCGCAGCTTGAATGCGGGCACTTCTCAACTAAACCGCGAATATACTTACACGAAAATACCTTACTCAGTATTTTATTCGGTATCGTATTATGCCTTTTAATTAAGAATATTGTTACGAGTATAAAAAGATCACCATTATCTCGCGCGTATATATACTTATATAGAATGATTCAAATTTTATCTCATCTGCATCTTATGCTTATTATAAGATAAATAACAATAAAAATCGTTAAATGATCGATGTACTCGCACTTTATACACTTTGGTCGAGTAAATGCGATAAATGTATCAATGATAGTAATAGTAATAATAATAATAATTTAAATTCACAACAACAGCAATTCTTATGAACCGAAAACCAGACTTGTCTCAATAACAATCGTTAATAATGTAAAACAATATAAAATCTTTCGTGAAAAAAATAACTATAATTTACAAAACTACATACGAATCAAAAAGTCAACATAGATTAAAATTAATTCATCGTTGCTTTCCGTACGTAAAATGACTTGGTGAAAAATGTCGCTTTACGCGTATGTACAGTAGCGCTCAGAAATATTTGACTCATGAATTGCTTCAATTTTAGAATTTTCATAAACAAATGTTATCTTACTCTTTGAATCCAATATAAAATTATTACATTCGTGATTTTATCGTTTGATCGTAACATGAAGTTAACAAGTGGATTTACAACCAAAAATATTTAAATTGACTTGAATAACAATTTATTTACAATTTTTAGAAATTAACTGCCAAAAATCTTTAATTTTTACTTTTGACTCAAAATTAATTTTCAAAGTTGCCAGAGACCAAGGCAGTCGTCAAAAGCAATAACGTTTTTACAGCGGCCAGAAAAAACCAACATCATCTGACGACGTTTTTTCAAACATTTATCTAAAATCTCAAGCAACCCCACTGCCAAAAAAAATTACACCATTCACTCGAAGATTGTACTCGCGAGCGCTACCGTACGGTAGCAAAAGACCGCAGGCGTCACACTCATTCTCTCGCTCACTTTGCAGTATCCGCTGCTTCATCCAGGCATCGACGTTAAATTTCGTCATAATGTAATAATAATAATATCTTACACGCTCACGTCATCGGCATCCTATCGTTAGTAATGCACGTTGAGGAGAAAGAAGATCAGCAGCCAGTAGGCCGAGGCGCATTGGGGCGCTCAAGGCTGTCGCTCACGACAAGCCCTGAGGGGTGAAGCAGATTTTCTCCAGCTCGCCAGTCGAAGAGCTCACGGGCGACTCGACGCGTTCCTCCTGCTCGCAGGCTAACTGCTCGCTGTAATAGTGGGGCGCGCTCAGGTAGTCGATGAGGCGCCGGGGCAGCGGCAGCGTCGGGATCAGATCCTTGCGCACCATTTTTAGAATAACGAATCGACAGGTGTGCTGCAAACTCTGAACCTGCTTGAAGCGTGAGACCGGGTGCAGCAGCTGGACGCGCATAGGACCCAGAACAGGCCGTCGATGCAGGAAGAAGAGGTAGCGACCACTACGCGAATGCTCCACTGCGTTTTCGATAAAATCCACGATCGTGTGAGACTTGAATTTTGTGCAGCTTCCGAAACTGAAATTACCTACAAGGAAACAAACAGCCAATAAACATTGATAGTTCTCAAAAATTGAAACTTTTAAATTAAAAAAGAATCCCAGTTACCCTGATCATGTTCTATTCTAACGTGTCGCACGCAACTATTCAGCCTAAACGATAACGAAAATATGTAATGATCGTCACTGCTATCTCGAACTATAAAAGATCCATCTGGTTCGTTGGATAAAATCTTTTCTGCAGCCTCTCCGCTGATGGGGCCCCAGTACCACCCATACTGCAAAAATTTACAAGGATTACTAAATACGTTCTAAGACTCGTTAAATTGTTGAAGCTTCATTGCAATATCCATCATAAACTCACATCTTTGACTTTTTCAATACTGGCAGCAAAATCCATGCTAGTATCTTCGTTTGTCGGCTGCTCGTCGTTATTGTCCGCTGCTGCGGCATGATGCTGTCCTCTTGTCTGAGGTGTCGAGTTTGCCGATGAGTCGCAGGAAGGTGCTCCTCCGTTTATACCGTTTGCGAGTGCACCATCTCCGTTTTGTGACTCTAGACCACCGTCTACATGCCCATTGCTTTTGGGCAGAGGTGGAAGAGCTCGCTTAAAGAACGGCAGCTTCTGTGCTGTCGCTGCCGTCTCGGAGTAGTCGAGGTCACCGTTTATTGCACTGCCGTTGTTGTTGTTTGGTAGATGGGATGGATGTTGTTCGTAATCTGCTACCAAGTCATCGTCATCCTGTAATATCACGTCGGCCGACTGGTGAACTGCGTTATTGCGCTTGGTAACTATTTGATGTTCGGGTGAACCAATTTTTTTGAACCTATGATTGAAAATTTGAAAAAATGTCAGTCTGAAATGGAATAATCTATGTTTGGATTTACATTTGTTTTCACACACCTAAAAATGTTGCAAAGAGTTTGCTTCAGATTGAGCGAAAAATGCCTCTGACTCTTCTTTATTTTCTCTCCATTGTTTCCGCCTGTTGTACTATCTGTTCCATCCAACGACTTGAGCTCATCTGCTCGTTCGTTTTTCGACTTTTTGTTCTTAAGCGTGGATATCGAATTCTTCTTTTGTTTTTTAACGTTGCTACTACTATTATTGTTGTTATTGTTATTGTTGTTAATATTATTATTGTTATGTTGCATGAGGCCGTTGCTGCTCTTGTTCGATATTGGCGTATTCGTTGTAGAAGAATCAGTGTTGACGGGATTGCTGTACTTGTTGTTGTTAATGTTGTTGTTGTTAAGGTTGAGAAGTTTAGGCATTGGGGTGAGGTGAATGGAAGACTGACCGATGCCCTGTTGGTAAGCTAGTTTGGTCATTTTATCGCGCTTCATCTTCGCCTCGTTGCAACTGTCTGCCGAACCACCAGACGAGTACAGAGTCTGTAAATATTGGCGCACTTCGTGTAAAGTCATGTGTATAGGCTCGCGTACGTGACTGTTCGATGACTTGGTCAACAGCTGACGATGATATTGTTGTTGCTGCGGCTGACGACCCACAACTGCAACGGTAGCGGCTGCCGACGTTCCTGGCACGCTATGCCTCTTTCCATTATTGCCTGGCAAAGTTTCAAATTTTCATCGCATTAATACACTAAAAATACCCTTGTCAAATTTCTTTTACTTTCTGTTTTAAATACGAATTCTTACCACACGTGCCGTTTGCCACTGGTACAGCCGAGCCAGGAATTGCCGCCGAATAATTACAACAGGTATCGAGCATTTTCTGCGACTTGATTATGTGACTAATGGACTTGGGCTTGCCTATCATTCCACCGCAGTAGTGTCTCACCTGCTGCGGCTGTATGTGAAACTCAAATTCGCTCTGAGAGCTCGCCGACACGTTTCTTCGACGCTTTCGATGATGCTTGTGCCTTTTTGGTCGCTGCGGAGTTCTCAGCTCGTGGTGCAATGGCCGCACAACGTCTATCGGAACGGTGTATATGTCCGAATCGAACGGCACGTTGTACATATCACTGATGTGACTCGTAGTGAGAATATCGTGCGACATGGCCGAAGTGATGAAGCTGCTGTCGTCCGCCTTGTTACTCAGTCCTGTCGTATTGATTGAATTGTGTGAGCTTGATAGCCTTGAAGACGCAAGCGAAGATCGTGAATTTGGTCGGTTTAACGTGCTGAACGGAGTAATCGTAATGGCCCCGTTGTAGCCTGCTGTTGCTAGTCCCGGTGATGATGCAGTCATATAATCTGACATCCACACTCGTGAAGTGCTGTAATGTGTGTGTGTTTTTTTTTTTTTTTTTTTTAACAGGAGTGATGATTCAGCATTTTTATGATATATTATGTGCACGCGATAACAGTGTAAAAGAAAAGATTCTTAAGAAATCTGTTATCATTGGTTCACAGAATTATCAAGTATGATAGTGAGTAATAGGTCATAAAATCGTAACACTCACGTTTTTGTCCTATTATTGCAGCTCATATGGATTATCTCTGTGCTAGGAGCACGTTTGGGAGGCCTTAGAATTACTTTTCCTTCAGGCCAAGAAATTGTACATGCAGTATTTAAGGCCTCCTCTACTATGGTTTCAACTAAATTCTGAGCAAATTCTTGAATACAAGTATCTGAAGCTCTTCTTTGGGCTTGAGGAGTTGTGTGGTTATCAGAAGCAAGTGGCTCTAAAGAGGAGGAAGACGTGTCTGGTGGTGATGGACTGTCTTGGAATTCTGGTGGTGGTTTAATAGCAATATCTGCCACTTCGAGTTTTCGTTGCTCTGCCACTGTTGCTGCTGCAGCGGACAAAACATCTGTCCATGCAGCTGGTCCTTTCTTTAAAGTATTGAAATTTTCTCCATGTATACCATCCGAATAATCAAATGAATCCTGTGACAAAGATTTGCTTTCCATGTCGCTTTCTTGTAGCTATAAGAAGACGAAATTTACTCGGATTGCTGAGTTCTGGCTTTAAAACAAATCTCCATAGAAAAAATTTGCAAAGTCATACCTCTGCAGTAGCAAAATGTGCCCTGACAGAATCACTGGATATGGAGCCTCCTATGCCACTACTGCCAATATCGCTGAGAGGTCCAGTTACACTTAGTGAATATGATGGTGGTGAATCCATATTAATGTGAGGAAAGGATTATGAATGTGTTTTGACGCCAGTTTACGTTGGTACTGCGTCAAACCATGATATTGCAAAATTTTGGCTACAAAACCAAAGCATTTTAAATTGTTTTGCTCATCAAATTGGTCATATTAATAAAAGAAACCTAATAATCTTACTCGTTCATGGGTATTGCCACTGATGCTACTACTGGCAACACTCGTCTTTTGTACCCCAGCATCTTTGAAATATTACTTGACGAGCGCTGTATACAATCACGCTGTCCAGGAGACGTCTAAAAATAGCAGAAGACAAACGCTTTATAAAATATGATTACGTCCTTGTATGCATAAATATGCAGGCATTACAAAGATGACTTTCAAAATGCATCATCAAAGCTCGCAGACCAGAGAGTTCTTCAGATAAGGAAGAAAGAAAAATCACAGTGTAAATAACAATATCGCGATGGAAGATACGATCATCCAGGCGCAGAGAGCGCGCATATCTACATCAATAATACGACTGTGTAATATAACACAACACAACACCAACGCGACCCGATAATCAAAAGATGATTCACGCTTCATGAACTGATACCCACGATTGGTCCTCTCGAACGGACTTCCCGAGAATCTGGAAAATTAGTCCAGATCGTACCGAGCCCTCAGCCATAATATTACAGCAGGAAGCAAATTGAGGCAGGACCAAAAGAAGAGCAAGAGAGAGAGAGAGATCTATTATCTCTTATCTAGTCCTTCTGTCTGGCCTGGCGTGACGCACACTCTCATTAACTAAACACAGCGCGTATATATAGTCGCGTACACACGCTACCGTCTCGCGGTGAAGGGACGTACCGGGGGAGCTGCTCCCTTACGTACACGCTCTGGATAGTCTTCCTCGTCAGCGTCCTATGATTGTTGTTCCTGATGGCGCGGCTGATCCATACAAGGTTCCAGATTTATGCCTTGTCGTATAGTTTTTATAGTAATTTCATTGTGAAGTCGCGAGCAGAACACATGTATATTTATAGATAACGAAGTACGGACACTACAGAATATATGCACTGCTCTCTCGTGCGTCAGCTATAGCAGCGAGGACGCGAGGAGTGCGAACACTGCGAACTACGAGGACCCCGTTGTTGGTGTGCAGGTATTACCTTACACCAAAACCAAACACCAGCCTACACTACACTACTACTGTTATACTGTACTTACGTTTACGTACTACGATGGTATACAGGTATAGGTTATACGATGTACCTTATTCGACGACCGACGTATGACAGACGACTCCGCCAGAGATGAGAATAAGTATATTTATACTTTTGGAGGTCGATTTTCGGGTAAAAGATAAATTAGACACTTGCCGCAAACAGCATAGACAACGTCAACTTTTTATTTAATGTCGATTAAATGAGTTGCGGCTGGTTTATAATTGATTAAATAGCTCTAGGCCCGAAAGCTCTGATTCAGAATTTTAGAGGCCACTTTTCGCAAAAGCAAAAAAATGAAATCCGCTAGATGGCACTGATCCAAGTAATTATTACTACTTTTTTACAGTAGAGCTATTTAATAAATTATAAACCAGCCGCAATTAATCTCGTAGATATAAAATGAAAAGTTAACGTTGTTTGTACTATTTGTGGCAAGCTTACAATCTATTTTCACCCAAAAATCGACCTCCTATTTATTTAAACTTTTGGAGGTAGGTATTTGGGTTAAAGATAAATTTAATACTTGCCGCCAATAGCACAAACGCCGTTAACTTTTTATTTTGTGTCTATGTGATTAGTTGCGGCTGGTTTATAATTGATTAAATGGCTCTAGGCCCTAATGCTCTGTTTCAGAATTATAGAGGCCACTTTTGGCGAAAAAATGAAGACCACTAGATGGCGCTGATCCAAATAATTATTACTATCTATACTTACAGTAGAGTCATGTAATCATAATCAATTATAAACCAGCCGCAACAGAAAATTCGCGATTTTGCGAAACAAAGGGTCATTTTAAAGATTGCGCACGATGTCTTTTAATTCACTAAATAATTCATTTTTCTTTTTGTTAATTATTGCGGTTATTGAGTAAAAAACATGAAAACTATTTAAATTTAGCGCAATAGTGACGTCAGTATACGCTGTACGATGGCTACTGGCTGTACGCCACTTCATAATGTTGTTTTTCTGCGGCAGCAGTAAGTATTTAGAGAGAACACTGAACTTGCGGTGCTGTGATCTGTGAATAGCAATTGTACTTTTCAGAAAGAACGCGCTTGTAACCGGCAGCAACACTGAATCTTCTTATCAAGCAGTAAGTGTAAAAATTTAAATTTGCCAACCAAGTGCAGATTTTTGAACAAATAACATCGTTTTATGTCTAATGTGTTGACAGAAAAGTGTAGATTCGTCAAGCTGCAACTTAGAGACCGTATCGAGGTTACTTTTTGAGCCACGTCTGCATTACTAGTCAACAAAAAAGTAAGACATTGCTTCTGTCACACCTAATGTTTTAAAGTCGTTGTTTATTCTTTATCGATCACATCAATCAGTACAAAATTATCATGCACAAATTGACTTTTTAATATCTTTGGAAACAATATCTTTCACTTCAGATGGAGATTGAGTCCATGTCAAGATATGTATCACCTGTCAACCCATCAATGTTCCCATGGCTGGCAGGTCTCTTGCTGTTGATTGGAATTTTTTTCACTGCCTGGTTCTTCGTGTATGAAGTAACTAGTACAAAGTTCACAAGAGATATATTCAAAGAGCTGCTTATCTCTTTAGTGGCAGCACTATTTTCAGGGTTTGGCATCCTATTCCTTCTGTTGTGGGTTGGAATTTATGTGTAAGTAAACATTATGAAATAACTAGTCCTTGTTCATCTTACCAAATAATTAATGATTAATATTTGTTTTATTTTCAGCTGAAAATACAGAAATATCGTCTCACAGATAAGAAAACTTTGAATATTGTTGAAAAAAAGTGTGCAATTAAGGTATGTGTGTACTATATGTGAATGACAAACATGTTTTATAAGAAAAAAAGTTTTATGCATTTAATACCTCTCTTAAGTTTTACTAAGAGTTAAGAGAAATAAACTATATTACATTTTCAATCCCATGAAAGGAATAATTGTACTTTCAATAATTCATTCAATAACCAAATTTAATTTTCTACATTTGCTTCGTATTTTATTTATTTTTTATATGTATTTCTTGTAACAGAGATTTTAACAAGTGAGCTACATACATAGAAAATTTATAAAATGGGGAAGAAATTTATCATAGTCATCTTCATGTTCATCCTCCTTCATAACTTCTACATAGTAAAAGGTAACAAAATACATGTGAATCAATTTAAATATGCCCCAATACTTTTTATTTATATACATTTTTAACATTTTCTAAAAATAATTTAAACATAAAAAATCATAGATATTTAAAAATTGATAATTATAACATTTTCTATTTATTGAACTATGGCAACAAGAATACTTATTGTTGAAAGTAGGTTAATTACAACACAAAATGTGAAATAGTCAAGTAATAATTTTATTTTACATCTGCAACGCTAACCTAGTTGCAATTGATATAATTAACAATATCTACTCATTTTTCGTAAATAGATGCAATATTTTATTATATTCTATATATTGATATTAAACTTAACATTTCGTTAACCGTTGCTTATTTATAAACTCAACAATCGTAGCCAGACTGCATAGTTTTTCTCTCTTATAAAAGTATACATGAATAAATCGTTCCGTGAAGAAAAACTCCATGTCGTCTCGTACCTAAACATTACACGACAAACAAATGAGTATGGCGATTATGGCCTCATATATAAATTGCACGCATCCGTTACATCATTTTTCGTATCAGTGTAATGAAACCATAACTCTGTAATCTCGGCTGAATCAACGAGTATAAAAAAAATTCGGCACTATTACACACATAAGTATCCATGGCGAGCGAGAAATCTTGTGTAATTATGGCAACGACATCTCGCTCGTTATTAGCGTATAATATCAATTTTATTTACATACATGCACGTTAGGTAGGTTCTATTACTTTTCTAATTGCGACACTCGTTGATACTATACAATACAAAAACGCACTCAACGTCACCTTAAATTTACCTATCTACCTATATTTATTGTAACGAAACAGTGTAAAAGTGGAATTATCATTGTTTTCATAATAATATATACTCCTATCAATTGAAGTAACTTTAAACATTAGTGTCTTCATAAGATAATAGTACTAAAACATCACAAGTATAGGACGGTATGTAACTTGAAGAAGTAGGTTTAAAACGGTATTTTTTTTTTTTTTTTCGATGTACCAACTTGCATCACTGATTATCAAAAACACTGTACATATTTTACTAACTTAAACGATCGATTGACGGTGTATTCTTCAATTTTAATTCACTGAAAGTTAGATATCTTACGACTTATCGAGTAAAACATCCAAAGATCTAACGATTTCGATGACTGTGTATGTATGCCATTTGTGAGGGAAAAAAGAAACACCAATAAATTCTTCAACTACGATTCAACAATTTTCCGTGTAGGACGCTCCTACCTCGTTGGCTGTATATACAAATAAACCGTAGTAAAGTACAAAAAAAAAAAAAAAATGTATGGAAAAGTGGACAACGCGTGTAACTAAACTTTAAAATTTAGTAACATAAGCATTTTAGTTCCGATGCACGCGCCGCAAACTTTCAGCACACAGCTGCATGTGGAAAAACTGAGGGGTCGCATAACAACGAGGCACTAACACCAGGCAAATAGAAACCGTCAGACGTAGACCTCGCTGCGCTTGCTGGGGGTAATCGGTGGCGGGAGGCTGGAAGTCGGACTATTGCTGGGATTGCCGTGGACGCTGATCTTCCTGAGCACCTCGTCGGGGGTGACCTTGTCGTTGTTATTGTTGTTGGCCGTCTGGTCGAAGCTTCCACTCCTCGGCCTCGCTGGACTGTTTGGCTGCGAGGAGCCCACCGCCGGTTGAAGCGAGCGCAGCCTCTCGACCGCGAGACTGTCGGGTCTCGCCGGTACTGCTCTGCCGTTATGTTGCTGAGTCGGGCCAAGGGAGTGTGGCATCGAGTTGCTTCGGTCCTCGCGCACCTGCAAGCTACTCACGGTGGCTGGGGGCCCGGGCAGGGACGTGGAACGCCTGCCCTTGGGCTCGGACCGCGCCGCCCTCTGCTCGCTCGCTTGCACCAGGTAGTTCTGAAATAAGCGTACGGCCGATTAGTTGCTAGGCTTCGTTTATTCCTCTCAGCTAGAAAGGTCTTCTCCTCTTACCCAATCGTTTTGGTCGTGCTGGTGGTGAGAAAAGTTGACAACGGCGTCGAGCTTCTCCGGGTCCATGAGTATCGGTGACTTGCGCTTGAAGCCACTGTCGTCGTCGACCTTACCGTCATCGTGTTGGCTGGTCGCGATGCTCGTGCTGGCCGTGCTATCGTCCTCGGCGCCGCTGCCGTTGCTACTGAGTTCCGTAAGAGTGGCCTGGGGCACCTCGATCGAACTGCTCGGCGCTCCCACGTTCCTCGCAACCATCATCCCCGAATGGGTCGTAGGGGAGGCTGTTGTCGTGATACCCGAGACGAACCTCGTCAGTTGGCCCATGGTAACCGGCAGTGCGACCGGCGTCGTGACAAAGTTCGTTGCCTTGAGACTCTGCGGCAGTACCGCCTGGGCCAGGTGAGCCGCCGCCGGCCTCAACACCGGGGTACCCTCTGTTTTCTCTGTAATTCGTGTGCTCATTATGTACATTTTGTCTTTTTAAGCAACCAACCGAACTGCGAGTTGGTTGGTAACCTACCTTGGATGGGGGAGAGGACCAAGCCGGTGGCCCCGTTGCCGCCGACCACGACCTGAAGAACGGGAACGTCGTGTATGGAGTGCCCTGGTCCGCTGTGCTGATAAGGAGTCTGAGTGACAGGCGGGATAACGCCGACGACGCCGGCCCCGATGCTTACGGCGTTGCTCGCCGAGAGGGCGAGCCGTTGTTCCCTGTCGACCACCTCCTTCGTGACGTCCGGGGTTGGAATGCGGGGCCGATTTTTCAAGGATATCGGCACGGAGTTGAGCTTAGTCTGGGCGACGACCTGCTGCCTACCGGCCATCCTCTGGCTCTGGATGCTCTTGCGCCTCAGCCGGTCGTAGAGGGAGATCTTGAAGCTCGGATTGTTCTGGCCGCCCTGCAGGGGCATCCCGTTGCCCGCCTGGCCCGTCTCCGGGCTACTGTATACGCTGTTGTGCCGATTTCGCGAGAAAAAGCCACCGCTGCTGTAGGTCGTCGTGCTGCTGCGCACCGAGCCCATTCGCGTTATCTGGCGCTGCAGCCAGTTCTTTCGCCTCTCCACCAGCGGCGTGTCGACGCTCTCCTGGTATTTTTTATGCCGTTGATTAGGGAGGGAAAAAAAAAAAAAAAAAGATCGTCGCACTTATAAGTGACGTGCAACGATACTCACGTAGTCGGCGTAGACGTCGTCCTGCATGTGGCCAGACTTGCCACGGTGCCCGTTGTGCGATGGGTCGTTCATGCCAAGGGTGACGTTGGCGTAAAGGGCGTCGCTCTCCTTGACCTTGTAGTACTCGGCCGAGCCCTTTGGCTCCTCCCTCCTGTAATTGGTACTCGCGACCGTGTACGGCAGATCCTTGGGCACCACCTCGTCCCAGTACTGGTCCTTGAGCAGCTCCGGGTGCTCCTCGTGCATCTCGTCGACTATCATGTATGCCGCCTGGAGAAGTCAATACACGTTCGTTTGAATGAATTCAACCAGATAATTTTCTTTTTTACTTCCTTTTCTAAGTGACGAGATGGTTGGTTATACCTTTATGTGACGGTCTATCAGCCAGTTGAGCTCGATGTCGTCGTCGTCCTCGCCAAATGGGTTGATCAAGACTTCGGCTACTTTCAGCCAGCCGACGTAAAAACAAAACTGCAATCGAACGAACGAAGCGTCTTACGATATACATTTTGTATTACCTCCAAGGCGCGGTTTTACATAATTAAATTGGACAGTGGGCACATAGTATACCTGCAAAGTGGTGAAGAACGGGAAGTACATGTCCGGGACCTCGTATTTGCCGCTGAATCCAGAGCCTGCCTCGCTCTGGTATATGAACTGTCGGCCCAGGAGAGCAGATAAAAAGTAAGCGTACAGGGATAGTGTGACCACCTGAAAGCACAATACGCGCGTGCACCATCGCGGATGTTGTAGAATCAGTGGGTTTTGTTCCATACACGTGGAATTTTTTTTTTTTTTTTTTTTTTNTTTACGTGCGAGCAAGAGTCCCATGCGGTGGCATGTGGTGACGACGCGTCGAGTGTGATGCACTTTTGAACTCTCTCGAGCGAGCAACGACTGCAACACACGTGTGAGAAAGAGAGGCAAGCGAAGGGAATGAAAAAAAAAAAAAAAAAAAAAAAAAAAATTTTAATTGTACAAAATAACAATGCTTAACATCCTGCCTTCTGTATGAGCAGGAGAATAAAAAAAAAAAAAAAAACAGTTGAATAACGCAGAGTGTGCGGTTTTTTACATTACTACTCTTTGATGAGTGAAGTATAGGTACCGTATATTTTTTTTTTTAAAGAAATGCCATTCATTGTGCAACGGGTATTACGTAAAAGTAATTCGCTTCGCGGATATAACACGTATAAACACACGTGAGAGTCTCAGTGTATCTTTAAATTCGATCTGGCTACCGGCTGTTATTGCATCGCCCGTGTGTAAAAAGTCAAGGCTTTTTTCCGAAAAACAATAGCGGTAAAAAAAAAAAACAAATCAATACGCCGACTCCCTCGGGCTCTTTGTCGATCGCAAAGGAAAATAAAGCCACGTAAGTATACACGCATGGTATCCCGTAAAATCGTGCACGATACCGATCATTTTTATTGCTATTATTAATTTAGATCCTCTCCGATTCTCTTTTAATTGCTCATGCAAACTACAAGCAGTGTGAGTCACTCCCGATTCTGCTGAGAAAATATTGAAGATGAAAAAATTTCAACATCTTCTTTCACAGTACAGGCACGTGATTCGATGGTTCGGGAATTCTCATCGGCAATCCGAGAGCGTGTAATTTTCAACACGATAGTATAGCTTCGGAGCAGTGACGACTACCGAAATCTTAGCACTTTTTATTTACACGTTTTATCGAATGGTTGCACCGCGTGGGTGAATAATTCAAGCGCGAAGCACTCGATGTTTGTACAGGTGTCGGGATGTCTCGAGTCGACGAGTTTTGTACGTTCTCGTTTGGTGATAAAATTTTTCGACCAATTCGGCGTGGCCGACCTTAACCCAATAACCCGGTTTTACATGCAATACAGTGTACGAGCACAGCTCAAAAATTATCGGTTGCTAGAAAAAAAGAAAAAGAAAAAAAAAGGCGATTGGGAAATAAACCAAAGTGACAAAGAAATTGTTGAGAAAAAAAAAGTTGAGGCCTCGCTTATCTTGCCCATTACACGTGCGCCCGCAGCTGTATACATATGTCATGCAACAATGAATGATCGTTCCAGATCGCGTGAGTCAATCGTTCCGACAGTAAACCCACAAATTTTTCACTCTGATTATTTTTACGTATTTCTCATACTTATGCTCGCACGTGTTCCACGAACCATATGAATCCTAGCGTTAAAAAAGAGAATGGCTCAAAAAGCAACTTTTTTTTTCTCCCGAAAAAAGGAAGAAAAGAAAAAAAATTTAGCCGCAACAATAAATACACAATGGACGAATGTATAAATGAGTAAAAGAAGAGGGGGGAAAAAAAAAACATAGAATCTCACCTGCGTGTAAACGAGAGGCACGCAGACGGTGTCGTAGCCGATGAGTCCGCCCAGCCTTTTGCGTATGTCACTGAGCTCGACCAGAAGGGTCTGGACCACGTGGTCGCTCGTTATCAGCTGCTCCTTTCTCGCCCTGTTGATTATGTTGGTCGCCCAGACGAGGGGCATCCAGTACTTGGACATGGCCGCCTTTTTGTTCATCATTTCGAATATCTTCTTTTCCGACTCCATCATGAGGCCTGTCGAGTTTCCAAAAATTATTCAACCCCGGCAGTTTGAGTTTATTTCACAGGTAGACGGTACTACGAGTGATCTGATTGCCCTACAAGTTTTCATGAGTACTTTAGTTGTTTGATTATCACCAAGTGAAAAAAAAAAACTTAACTTTTGTTTACTTATTTCTTTTGCAACATTTCTTCGAACGCTCGTCAGTAGATTCAATAAAAAACTTTTGAAATTCCTTTTTTTTTCCCCACATAGGTGCTTGTATGAAAACTGAGTTGTTTACTCACGATTGGAATCTATTAATAGTATAAAATACACGTATATCAAAATGGAATCATAAATTATTAATTGACGCGCACACGCGCTGAGGCACAAAGTTATTAACTTTATTGCCGAGGAAAGCTCGATGCCTCATGAATATTTTTTCCATTTGCATTGAATGCCACTTCCGTGATTCCTTTTTTAGTTTGAGACTCGCCTTTCGTGCGTTTATTACATGGTAACGCTGCCCAAAATGAGAACGATTGGTCAAAAGGGTGCTCTTTGTCATGGTGGTTCCGTAAGTTGATGATAATCTTAGTATAGAAATAATTTCATACAAAAATGTGTGAAAAAAAAGTGTATGATGAAGAGTCGTTCAACAAATAAAGCAAGCCTTGTTAAATTGAAATCTGATAAAATAATCAGTGTTGAAGTACATCACAGTATGACAAAAACAACACTTTTAATGTTTATACTACACGAATATATTTATTTACTCTGTCAATAAATTCTAAAGTATAATTTTACAATAAACCCGCAGAGCCATTTTAAAACGATTGACGGGATGTTTATACTTAGGAGAAGAAGAAAAAACGTACTATCAAACGAAAATTATAAAGCCGCTACGATCGTCGTAGTTTTTATGGAGAAACTATATATAAGCGTGTAGCAACCGGTTGCGGCTGCCCCATTTTGAGCGAAAGTAAATAATTTATACGCTGATAGCTCCATTCAATGTACCTATATATGGATTTAATTTTTATTCATACGATTCGCGCAAAATGGCACCTACAGCTCGCGTGACCCCTACACCAACACTATAAAAGCATTAATAGGTGCGATGTATTTATTCACGATATATTTACGAGTTCGGGCTATAGAAAATATACACGAATTACAAAGAAAAGATTGGTGTAAAACAAAATTTAGCTCTCGTTACGCGGGGGAGGGGGGGGGGTTTGAGAAAAATTAGCGCGTGTATCTGTTACTTGAAATTATAAGCATATGGGTACAAGCGCGCGAGTGTGTCTCTGGAGAGCCGAGGCGTCGGGGCAAGGTCAACAAACGCTTGGATCCTTGCTCGACCGGCAAGGCCGCCGTCGTGGCGCACACACAATATAAGAGGAGAGGAAACACGACGAGGGAAAGGAAGAAAGAAAGAGGAAGAAGAAAAAAAAAAAAAAAAAAAAAATAAAAAAAAAAAAAAAAAAAAAAAAANAAAAAAAAAAAAAAAAAAAAAAAAAAAAAAAAAAAAAAAAAAAAAAAAATCGAGAAAAATACGTCTTTCCTTCCACCTTTTCCCTGCTGCTTCGCGCACTGTATAACATGCAAGCGCAGCATCTCTCGTTCACAGTGCCATATAATGTGATAGGGGGGGTAAACAAGTTTTCGAGAGCCAGCGCGTGCGAGGATTCTTCGCTCCTCTTGTTTCTATTACAACGCGATGCGCTTGAAGCGGCGATAACCCGATCGTGCGCTCGACCGTCACCGCGAGATTTTCTCCCCCTCCGTTTGCCCTCTCGTCCGAGAAAATTCAACCTGTTGCGCGCTGTTTGGCCCTCGCCCCGGGGCGCTTGTCCCTTTTGTTGCTCGTTTCTTTTTTCCAACTGGGCTTCCATGAGCTTCGTTGCTCGATGGAAGTTGAACAAACCCAAGGGGAACAAAGAACCCTGTTGTCGGTGTCGGGCTTGTCCATCCGATTTCTTACATTTTTTTTCCTTTCCTTTCGTTTACATACTATGTGCTTACAGTCCCGTTTTCATGAAAAGTAGGTCGTACGTTTTGGAAATAATCTAATCGTGAAAAAAACAAAGGGATGGAATTTTCCTATAAAGTAAAAAAAAATGGGGTGCGAGTGTATACAAAACGAGCCGATTTGAGTGAAAAATCCTTTGATACCTCGGGAACAATTTCACACCCAGCGCGAAAGATCGGTATATACATACAAAAGCACGCGTGTGACCGTACAGTGAAAGTGGGCGGGCACAATATATACATGCGTACATATATGAACACTTGACAAGTGACTCGCTGCATCGAGTATGTATATACATATATAACACGTATACGTTTGGCGAATCGTCGCGTTTTCGCCACCGGAGACACTCCTTGAATTCTTTAACGCGCGCGTATCGAAGAGCACTGCATTCAAAAGCCGTGAACTTGAACCAGCTGGAATTTCGGGTTCCGCGGAGCCGCGTACATATATATGTATATAAGCACCTGTGGCGAAAATATTCACTCGGGGACGGACAATTTATTCCCGAGAGGAATAAGATTCTTGAGGAAAAGAAGAAAAAAAAAGTCACGGACCAACAGCTGCAGGTGCAAACAGTCGACGCATACCGATCGGAGAAACCGCCCTGATTAGGAAACATCGGCGCGTAATTGGAAGCTCCAACTGCCTTTTTCACTTCTGATGCGCTTCTCCGTCCGATTTGCCAATGCGTATACACACGGCCTATGTATAGGCATGTATATTTATGCGATCCCCGCGATTTCTCGGAGCAGAAGAAATTCCGGCCTTTGGCAGCGGGAAATTCCACTCTCGCGTCCTTTGTTCCAACCCATTGTGTGTACATGCACGACTAGCTAATTCTCGGTATCGGGGTGTAGACACTTACACGCGTGTATGTATTATACAGTGCTCGATCGCGAGAACTCCGTCACCTATTACGACTTAGCTATGTATGATACCTACACCTTTCGTTACGGTGTGCACCTCTGCACGCCAAATTTTTTCTTTTTTTCATTAGGGCAGCCTTTAAATTTTGTATAATTAGCGGCTGAAGGTGCCACTTTGCGGAGAACAGATCGAGATGTCAGGAGGATGCAGGACTCTCGATGCTCGGCCATTCACCGCTCCACCGCGTGTACTGTTATTTTTGGAGATACTCTCTCTCTCTCTCTCTTTTTTTTCCCCCCCGCCATGAAACCGATGGCCAGCGATACTTTGCGCGAGAAAATGGAAAAATGCAATTCCACCGCCGAGGGGCAAAGTCAGCGGACATTCGCATTAAAACTCTCTCGTACAAGTATACGTGATATTCGAGACAGTGTACAGCCGTGGGCTGCAAATAAAACGAGCAATCAAAAGTGCATCGGATCGGGCACGCGCCTCCAACGCAACTACGCCTTGGCTACGGCGAATTTCGAGTTTCACTCGCGAAGCTGCTCTTACGGTCCTCCGCCCCCTTGGATGCCGAATCGCTATATTATAGGTACCATTATGCGCAAGAATCATCAGGTGGGAAAACGACGCGGGGAAACTCGGCCCTTTTCTCTTTTATCCCATGCACGTATTAATCATGGGATCAGTAGAGTGGGTGTACCTAATGTGCAGCGAGATCGAGAGGTGCCCGCGCGTGGCTCTAAAATTACCACCTATGAGCTATAGCCGGTAGGCAACTTGTACCATAATACATAAGTATACGCGCGTTCTTTCTCCCCCCCCCCCCAAGGCTCGCCCGCGTAAAAATTTTTACGTTTAGCCAAAACTTCGCCAAATGTGGTCAACGTTTGGCCAAACTTTGGCCAAGCTTGGGCAATGAGAAAATCCCAAACTTGGATTTTAGTTGGAATATATTTTATTCAATATTTTTCGTAAGTCATATAACGCAGACCAACTAATATCCTGACGCAACAAATTAACATTTTTTAGACGTTTGGAAGAACATTTGCTAAACTTGAGTCAAATATTCCAACGAAAATCCAAGTTTGGGATTTTCTCATTGCCCAAGCTTGGCCAAAGTTTGGCCAAACGTAAAAATTTTTAAGCAGGCGATTAAACTTTTAGTTTTTTCGACTCTGAGAAACATCCTATCGTATACATATATCGGCCACCATCTAATATTGTACGTGCGAATGAGAGTCCAGGTGTACTGACCTACGTCGACGATGTGCTGGAGGGTCGGGAAGCGCCTCTTGACGCGCAGCGAGATCCTCTGCAGCGTTATCACGTAGGCCAAAACTGCGTAGCGCACGATGTTCCGACGCATCAGTCGGCCTCGCTCGTCCTGGGGAAAAAAAAAAAAACAGTAATTTCAATCATATTTATTTTCACACTGCCTTCGTGGAATAACAACGCATCTTTTTATTTGGTTCATCGTCGAGTGATTGGCACACACGCGCGTGTATCCTCGAAAGAGAGCCACCTGTTATTATACACACATAATAGCTTGTCCAGCTGGGGTATTGTACCTACATGCTACATAACAATGCTGTGGGCAATGTGTGTCGAGGTTTCGAATATACTCCAATATTACTTAACAGAAACGTTAAAAAAAAAAAAAAAAAAAAAAAGGTTAAAAGATGAGAGAGAGAGAGAGAGAAACGAAAATGTAAAGCATTATATGTACCGGTGGAGGCTATCGCGAGAGCGCATCTATATTATCCGCGGGTTAATGACACCGCGCTAACGCGCGCGTAAAAGGTGTCATGGTGATTCATTAGCAGTAATGAGCGGCAAAAATCATTTGTATACGCGTACGTATGATCTATATATACGTGCGTAGGTGGTGTTACATCGTTACATGTATATGGCAATAATAAATATAGAGTAACAGTGGCAGCTGACGATTCGACAAGGTAGCGTCAATTATCGCGTTTGTTGGTACACATGTGGTTTTTAACTTTTCTTATAGAGCGGCAAAAGTGCGTTGGTTAATTGCACGAAGAGGAATGTGCTTTAAAACAAAAGTGCCGCGCGAAAAAAAGACGGAAGCGGACAAAACTAAGTATATATACGTGTGCCGTGAAAAAAAAAAAAATTGTGTTTTATAATGAAAATACATATTTAGCGTGCGTGTGTGTATATATAGATTTATTTATCTATCGGTCAAGGCTGCCGTTTCGCCTCGCGTTCGTGATTTATAGGATTCACGTTGTTTTTGTGTTGTTGACGCTGTTATCTTTTTTATTTTTTTTTATTTTCTGCGCTCTCCGACATTTATGCATCACTTGTACAAACACACACTCGAGCAAGCAAGAGTGTTTTTTTAACTTTGACGTACAAGTATAGGCATGTACTTGCACTCGGTGCCTACATGGTTGTTTGCTAGCAAAAAATTATAATTTGCCGCCCACGGCCTAATTGATTGATATTGGGGGAGAGAAAAACACTTACGTTTCCTGGTATCGCAGCGCTGATGAAAAGGGCAAGATTGTCGGGCCAAGGTAAGAGCTTGTACTGCTCCCACCACCTCTTGACGACCAGACTCACGTAAAAGCCCAGCACGAAAGACATGGGTATCGACTCGCTCGAGTTGCCAAAGTAGTACCGAATCCTTTCGAACACCCTGCAACGTGTGTGTTTCGAAAACATCAACGAGGATCATTTATCTTAAAAATGTAATATTATGTTTCATAGGCACAAGGTAATTAATTTTAAGGGCTCTGTTGGTTGTTGTACGAAACAACAGCGGAAGCTTCTCCAGATTTTATATTCATTGCACGAATCATCTCTATGCCAATAAATTTATTTTGTAGTTCATCAAAAGTAGAATTATGTACCTACATATATACTGTAGCGACGAAACTCAAGTGACGGTCAAAAAGTATATACTTACACAATTCTTCGCTTGATCGTAAAATCCAATTAATATCCGTGAGATATAAATTAAAAATTAATCGACCCCATGATGCCCGTCAAGAAAGAGAGTATATACAAGTACAACAAGTCGAGATGAAAAGGCGCGACGGCGATAAAATGTACCATAAGCATTAAAGCCGCACATTAGAGATCTAATCGGGGCCTCTCGATCCAAACGACGGCAGGAAAAAAAAAAAAAAAAAAAAAAANCGTATAGCCGGAGGGATTGACGACTTCCGTTCGGGTGAGTCGTTTACGCCGTGCACCTATATATATATATATATATATACAACTTAACACTCACCTACTCGTAACAACTATACTATACGCTCTATGACTGTACTGTACCGATGGACTTTAGGGGACCGACCGTAACTTTTACGGCTCTTTTTCTCCAACATCGGCACTCTGTCGCATGTATATATCTGACTCAATATGTATTCATTCCAATATATATTTATACATGTACTACCACCGTTGATGCAAGTGGACGCGAGTAATACGTACGGACGCGTGCCATGATTTATTCATGCGCGCCCGTTTGTCCACATCTGAAGCTCAACTACATATACTGCTCTTACCATCCACATGCAGTTGATGGGATATGATTATTCTTCGGATCATTCGATCATCGAGTGTATATATATACTCCATCCATCCATCCATCGCCAGTTTCCTCGGGATCTCGATCGCTTCGATTTTCAATGGGTATACACACTCTCCTGTTCGCGTTAACAAACCATATACGTTTACGTGAAATATCGATCTAATCGCCAGCTGTACCCTACACGTTACGTTTAATCGAGCAAACATTTTATAACCTCGGGACAAAAACCATAATCAGCCGCGGACAATTGGTCGGTCGGTTGTAACTTCATGTGCTTCCACATAACTGAATTTGCGTATTACAACGCGGCATCACGTGCGGAGTGCACATTATATTTATATAAATACAAATATGTCATACTCGTGCGGTTTCTCTCGGTTGACTATATGCACAATACACCAGAACTCGTACGTTGCACCGGCATGCACGTTTCATTATACGTCAATTTGCTGTTTCATTTAGCGCACAATTAGCACCCGCAAGGAGGTGATCGACTCGCCACCCGACATATGTATACATACATACGGAAGAAAGGACAGGACAATATGCGGAATCCGTTATAATGTACTTGTATATATATATACCTGCATGTACGCATACCACAGTGGACAAAATACGAGAGTGATTTATACTATAACGACGCGCTCTTAATTGGAAAAATCAATAAGGTCTCCTACACGCGTGATGCATTGGCGCAATATATCCAAGTGGCCATTTTACTGTTTGATCTCGATGTCACGTATCGGTAATCAGTGTATAGATCCGTGGTTTATACGCGGAGAAAACCAGAGTACATTGTCTGTATAACAGAGGTGAAAGGCGTGTGCCCGCGAACATTATACGTATACCATACGCTCTTTTATGTATACGTCGTATGGACATAAAAATTAAAACTCGACTTTTGGTGGGAGGGATACGGCATTGGTCCATTGTTATTATGATCATTATTGCTATTCGACGATGAAAGTCCGAAGATGGAAGGAAATGACCTTACACCGTGAAAATAGCAAGAGTACCCACCGCTCGATCCCCGTGGCGGTCTTTTTTTTCCCTTTTCCTTTTTTTTTTTTTTTTTCTCATTGAGCAAAAAACACAGGGACGTGCTCTCGAGAGATACTTATGGGGGTCAGTGCTCCCTCTCGATTCGCTCGAAAGTAATCGTATCGTCCCTGTAGACGGACCCACACGCGTGTATGTCTTGGATGCCTTTTTTTGTTGTTGTCTTGTTTGCGAGAAAAATTCCCAAATTAATTATGTCCACACACAAATAGTAGGTATATGGAAAACAAGTTACAGCGAGGACCTATGCAAATCATGTGCAGGCGCCCGACAATAGAATCTATGTCAATCACCTTGCTGTACTTTCTACACTTGTTAATTAGTATTACACTTGCGAAGCGCAAACATTTGACGTGCACGCAAACTGTGTATCGGGATAGGTACATGTATTACGTCGCAACTGAGGGAAAAACAAAAGAAAAAACCAAATCGAATACGTCAGTTCACGTATATGTGTTACATATATGGGTGTACGCAGCACAAAATCTGGCATCGTTAGCGCGTGACGTAACACAAAGTCACACAAAATATAGCGCGACAAGTGCGCGTACCTACTTTAATGCGTGTATATATATAAAGTAGATTATGTATAGATACGCGTAACGGAACGACGCGCGACACCCGTAAAGGGACATATTACACGTACGTATAGGTGCATCGGAAGGAGTGTGTAGTACAGTGACCTGGTTCTTCTTGTCCGTGCAGCCTCTCCTTCCCGATGCTCCAATGATCTATATATAAAACGGTGCAGGCTTCCTCCGATGCGATTCATTGTATTCGGCTGTCGATTTTTTTTTTCCGATCGACTCCTTCGAGGAGGACCTTACATCGTTGGCCTCCCCGATGACCAGTCGAGGCTTGTCGGTTCCACTGCGTGTATGGTGTACACGTACGATTACACATGCGCGGCACGTGTCCTGCTGCCTATGTCAAAAAGCCCAATTGACAAGAGCAGCAGTTGCATCAGCGTCTAGACAGGACAAAAGTCTTGTGTAGGTACTCGCGTGCGATCGGCTGCGCGTTCGCCACGATTGAAATTCGCACGGAGCGTCGTCCCTGTCGATCACCCGAGATTATACATCTTATTAGACAGGACTTGCACGCATACCGATCAATTTGTACGTACACGCGACGTATGTTATAATATACCTACGATATGCGTCGTTATATATAGCGACACGTTTCCAATCGGGCCTTGATGCACGCGTGCAACTGTACGTACTAATATTTTATACGTACGTGCGTGCATGATTAAACGCTGCCGCGATCGTGGTACCGATAAAAAAAGGGACCAACATCATAAACTCGATACCGATCAGAGCCAGAGTCGGACCGGCCGATGTGAAAGACTCCTGCGAGTACCTACTTGAGATTGAGCAAACAAAAAGTGTATATGCCTCGGCTGGTTATTTTTTTTGTTTGTTTGTTTATTCGCTCGACTCTGCCACCACGTTAACCGTGACAGTTACCTCGCGATGTTTTCGCATTCGTCCCTTTGCCCCGATCAATCGGACGTAAATACATACCCGAGTCAGTAGGGGGCACCCAAGACGAGATTATCCGTCAGTTTCAGAGGAGGCGCGAGAGCTTTCCAAAGAGATCGGAAAGGAATAAAATTGCCAAGGCGACTGCGCCAGGCACAAAGAGACACGCCAAGGCCAACGACCGGCCTTAACGGGCCGAGGATCCTCTTCCGACTGTCAAGAGCACACGCAGTGGCGCGCGCGTCCGTCGATCGGCGGAATGCCTCTCGGACAAATACATCGGCCCTCCCATTCTTCGACAAAGACGAATCCCCGGTGATGGATTTGCCGAGCTCTCGTCGCTGGGTATATACCGTACTCGGCTGATTTATCGCGAAGCGCCTTCCGGCGTCTGCGACCGCGCGACTCTGCGCTTTTTCGATCCCCCCGACGAGGTGCGTCTCGCACCGTGCCGATCTCTCTCTCTCTTTCTCGAGTAAAACTCCGACAGCTGTGATTTTACCATACCATCGCATCCTGGGTGACTAAAAATGAATAAAACGAAAAATCCACCGCATTTGACACGATGATCAAACCCCGCGGTACAGACAGGGCAGTTTAACGAATCGAGAGGCGACAATTATTGCGCGTTACAACGACATCTAAGTATATAAGTGCTCCTCGTTTGAAAACAATCAAGCGATTTCTTTATCTTCCATTTTATAGTATACGAGTGTAATATTTATATACACGTAGAATCAAGAAGTAGAGAGGAAGAGGAGGAGGAGGAAGATGCGACTGCGGCACGCAACCGAGAGGAGGTAAAGTGTGGTGTGCCGATCGGATCGGTTTTGCGCCTGCATGTGTATACAGGTGCATTATAGCGCGCAAGATAATTTCAGCGCATCCTGCGGGCAAGGTCGCCCGCGCGCGAAGCAACGAATTGTTGCGTAACGGTTCCGCTTCGCGGGGTCGGCTACGCGTTTGTTACTCCTTTGCCCCATCGATCGCGGGGAGCTTTTTCGAGGGGCTTTTTGGAAAATGCGTTTGACGCGACGATGATGATGATATGCTTGAACCGTACGCTCGATTGGAAGCGGGTAATCAGCGCCGAGGATGAAATTAATACCTGTGCTACTCTGCGGCGTGCGCGTTATGTCACATCGAGCGTGTGTATCGGGTTTTCTGATTTAAGCGGAAAATAATCGTGACTAAGTAGCCGCTCCGAGCCGAAGATGTGCCAACGCGTAAAGACAAAAAGAGACGGCTGTAATCGCAAAAAAAGAAAAAAGAAAAAAAAAACTGTTGGAGCACGGATAAAAAGTTTTAAGTTTATTTATCCAAGGTGGATGTAAAACGTCCATAAAAGTATGGCTTACGTGTTATGTATGAACTGCTGTGACAACGTAATTACGAAATGGCAAAGAACAAAAATGTCAAGTCCAAACATCACAACAGTCGTACATTAAACAGAAAAAAAGCACTTGAGCTCAGTCTAAATTGAGATTAGAGACAGTTGGCAACGATGGTAGGAAAATAAAAAAAACTACATTTTAGGTACATATATGCAAACAACAACAAAACAGAGGCGGAGCCGGGGGCCGATTTATTTATAATCCACGAGACCTCTTTCGCAAGGAAGAAAAAAAAAAGAAGAATTTGGCCTAAAGCATTTCTGATCGATCGACGACGCGACATAAATCATGGATGAAAAACATCGGAGTGCGAATTCGCGTCTTGCAGAGTATGCAGGAAGCCAAATCGAAGGGCGCGAGGAAGTTTCGCGGCCGTGACTGCTCTCGATTTTTTTTTTTTTTTTTCTGAAGAGATTGTATATGGTCGCGCTTGTGAGGCAGGAATCGATGGTGCAGGGTCCTTGTGTCGTGCACGGGTGCGTGGATGTCCAAGGTCTACGGGGGGTGCGATGGTCGTCGGACTAGTTGTTTTTGCGAGATTGATGGGTCGAAAGGAGGAAGCAATTTTCGTGTGACGCACAAGTCAGCGATGATGGACATTGTATTTTTGCGGGTTTCTTTTTCGAGTGTCCACCGTTGAGAAATTACACAGGACGAGGCCTCGGATGTGCGCCTTCACTGCTGATGGATTTTTAATTGAAAATTGTTTTCATTTATTTAAAGCGATCGGACTACGGATGAGAGAGAGAGAGAGATGAGTATATAATTATCCACATCATCGAGAGCTTGGAAACGAGGTAACCGAGAAGTGGGCATACAATATTTTTACGGCGCGCAGCACTCGTTTCGTCATCGGTTCGATCATTTCTCGTGTAATTAAATATATATTCATCGTCAAAGGAAAATCTATACCTCCTCGTTTGATTCTCTTTAATTGCATAGTAATGACCATTTTTGATTTGTTGGAAAAAAATCAATAAGCAGATAAACTTGAAATTTTACAATAACAATTGTTTATACCTTTCGTAAAAATCAAATGATAACGCCATGTGCAGTATATATCCATACGAGAGTTCATTTATTCTAATGAAAAAAAAAAAAAAAAAAAGATCGTTAAGAGGCTTTGCGGTGCTACCATGTACGTATACCTGTACGTAGAAATTAGCAGATTAATTAGAAATGATTTCTCTTTCTTCCCGACTACACGCACACGAGAGATATATACAGAGCCCTGGATCTATCTTTCTGTTTCTCACTTGCCTCGCAATTCAGCTATATACCTATTATAATATTATTACGTCGCGCAATTACGGATGCATGTGCACGTACTTTTGTTGCTCCTCGTTGAGCGCATATCGGTAGATGAAGTTGATGATGTAGTAGGCCAAGAGGTACACCAGGAGCTCCCGCCAGATTAGCTTGTACACGGATCCTTTCCACCTGAAAAACGATCGAATAAACATATAAATAAAAAGTACGTATATACACATGTGCTTTGCACATTAGCTATCTAAATATAACACGTTTACTCGGAAATGATAGTTAGAGACGTCCCCGTTGCGTATCGTTCAAACATAACAATTAATAAGTATTATTTATGGCGAGGCAGTAAAAATTGTTTTCCACGAAAGAAATATAACTCGCTGCTTAGACATTGAACTTGGAAAGACCGAGAACAAAACTTGCCATTTGCCGCGGTAAGGCATTTTTTTTTTTTTTTTTTTTCTTCTTTTGCGATTATTGATCGAACACTTGGATAATATATATCTACGCACACGTAATAACATCGGTGATTGTTTATGCCAGTTATATCACGGGTACACACGTATATACCTGGCCGTTGTAAACTCATTATCGCAAATCTGTAGAGTCGGCAAAGACGCAACGGAAACGAATGATGACAACAACTACGCTTTTTTCGCTTGGTTTTAATAAATAGTATCTAATCCATTCGACTTTACCCGTTTGGTTGATTGTTCACGATAAAGACCGCAAAGCAAATCGTGCGTGGCGAAAAAAATCAAATGCAGGAAAGCGAAGTGTACGAGAGGCTCGTCCAATGATGTATAGCTCGCGTGCGCGCTTGCAATTGTTTGCGTCCGATTTAGCGCAATTGACATTACCCCGTGATGGGACGGAACAGAGGCACACACGCACGCGCTCGCGAATCGTGATGGGAATCCGACGCCCGCGCCGTTGGTAACCCAACACCTATGCAGTATAGGCACGGCTGCACAAACGACACCGCAGCCGAGTCGAGATTAAAGCGCGAACGCGCACATTATCAAGCATAAGATACATTTAGGGTTACATATACGCTGCTTTGTATGGTTAGCTATTAGAATAATTTTCTAAGGTGCATTAGGTATATTTTTATATTGCTATTCAGCTGTACAGTGCGAAAGTTTACACTGGATTAATTATTTTCTCTTGGGGGATGAGCTCCCTCTCTATATCTTTCCAAAAATGGCTCTTCTGCAGGTTTGTAGGTATAAGCTCGCACGGATTAGGAAATAAATAAAAAAAAGAAAGTTATCGAAGCCTGTACTTGGAATAAGAAAAATTACGCCTAGCATTGCGTCACGGATGTTGGTATGTATCCACGTACACGTGATTGCGTAGGTATACATGATACTCTCGTAACAGCGTGCGAGGAGGAGAAAAAACAGTTCGTGCTTTGGATTGATTTTTGATTTTTTCGAGATATAAGTATATATATATACACGAGTCAGTTTGTACCATGATATAAAATATCATTTCAACGATATGCGAACGGATTATATCATACGGTGCTGCGCATGTTTGTTGGAGATTTACACGAATGGACGGACGTCCGATTCTGAAGACGTAACGTCATAATAGGCGTGTAGGTATATACTGCGAAGAAAGCCATCGGAGCTGACCACGCGTGACAAATAACGCCAAAAATCATAGGTTCGAGCATCGAGAGATGCCAATCGCAGCATCGGAGGGAGTGAAAAAAAAAAAAAATTACACAGATACAATACACTCTCACGCGAGGTTGCAAGTTATTCGACGAGCGTCAGATGTTGCGCGCGATACAGTCAAATGGCGCCGCTGGTAACGAGTTAATTATTAAGTACATAGAGAAGATGATTTCCGCGAAAGAGCACACGATGTATTGTACAGGTGGGGAGGAACGGCTATTTAGCTGGATAATAATCGAGTGACGCAATGGCGGCTCATTACATTGGAAATAATCATCCGGGCCCAGAAGAAGACGAGGCTTTTGTGACGAACGAGCGAGTTGGTGATATATTACTCGAGATATACCTCCCTCGATTTGTCCTTGATTTAAAGGTGTTTTGGATAATATACGTGCTGATAATTGCAGTGGCTCTCGTGTTGATTTTTAGCTATATAAATTTGACCGAAGGAACGAAAAAAAAGAAAGAAAAACCTGTTGATGGAAGCGGAAAATTACACAGCCTCGTAACGTCGGATGTGCTGTGTACGCGTGCAGGTATATGGGGAGTGATGGGAGTCGTCGTTGATTTTATGTCAGTGGGGCGAATGAAGGCACCGCTGAGGTGCAGGGAACAGGTGATCAATCCTCATAAGCATACAATGAAATACATGGACATTACGTATTCAATAAGCCCAAAGGAGGAGGGCGAGGAAATGGTACTTTTGTCAGTTCAGTTCTCGGATGGAAGGAAAACTTGAATCGTATGATGGACAAGTTTAATAAAAATACTTCGACATTCCGAGCGCTGGAGTCAAAACAAAATCGTACGTCACGATAGTAACGAGGGAAAAAAGGTCGTCGTATATATAAATTGAAAGAGAGGAAGCGGGAAAGAGCTTAAGAAGCCATTAGGTATCCAAGCAAATGTATAAAGCACTGCAGGGGCCGGTGCAAAAAGTAGACGCATCGGGTCTACAAGTAATCCTCGCCGGCGACAAATGCCCGTCACATACCGGATGACGCACACGGCAGCATCCCACGTGGCGATCGTGCCCCGTTGATCCATCGGATTTCCATTAATGCCCATTGTAACTTTGGTTTTTTCGGCATCAGGTGCTCCGTAGCTAAAAAATCGGATCGCTGCACGAGGACTCTTCGGTAAAAACTTGGAGATCCATTAGGGAAGCGTATGATGGTTCGGCTGGGTCGGGACATTTTTTTTTCGCCAAACTCAAGAATGGTCAGTTTGTTTTGTTTTAGCGTACGATTCGAGTAAAGCAAGAAAATGTTTTGATGTCGATTGCATAGATGTATGCGTCACAAATGTCAAAAGCTACAAATACATTTACGACACAAGGAAGACCCAAAAGACGTGCCTTGCAATATCCCACGTGGGTACAGTTATTATTGTTTCCAGCTTTGTTTGCCCTGCCGCATGGGAAACATTTCTACATTGACGTCTCGCTCGCTCCAAGTATTGATCTTGCAATTTTTATATAATGCTCATACGTAATATGTTTTAGTGGGTACACGACCATGATCATTTCCGAGCTTGGCGGAAAGAAAATTTTGTCGAATCATTAGCTGATGGACGGTCAAATCTTTATGGAGAGGTTTCCAGCTGTTATACCCGACCAAATACCGAGACCAACCAAAAAGGAGGAAAAAAAAAAAAAAGAAAAGAGGTGATGGATGATGAAAAGTACCTATACACCAACTGTATATATATTACCCACATAAGCCGGGTAACGGTCCATTGGCATCGGTCAAGGCCCATACCTCCTATACCACGTATCACTGGTTAGTGGTTACAACAAGCATCACCGGCCACTCGCGTGTATCCGCAGAGTAGGTAGCCTCTCTGCAAATGGTGCTCGTACCCTCCTCTATGGAGTGCAGTTGCGGCAGTTTCGTACCACCGACTATTTGCGCGGAGCTGTATAGAATATATGTGTATATACGTATAGCCGGAGGGATTGACGACTTCCGTTCGGGTGAGTCGTTTACGCCGTGCACCTATATATATATATATATATATACAACTTAACACTCACCTACTCGTAACAACTATACTATACGCTCTATGACTGTACTGTACCGATGGACTTTAGGGGACCGACCGTAACTTTTACGGCTCTTTTTCTCCAACATCGGCACTCTGTCGCATGTATATATCTGACTCAATATGTATTCATTCCAATATATATTTATACATGTACTACCACCGTTGATGCAAGTGGACGCGAGTAATACGTACGGACGCGTGCCATGATTTATTCATGCGCGCCCGTTTGTCCACATCTGAAGCTCAACTACATATACTGCTCTTACCATCCACATGCAGTTGATGGGATATGATTATTCTTCGGATCATTCGATCATCGAGTGTATATATATACTCCATCCATCCATCCATCGCCAGTTTCCTCGGGATCTCGATCGCTTCGATTTTCAATGGGTATACACACTCTCCTGTTCGCGTTAACAAACCATATACGTTTACGTGAAATATCGATCTAATCGCCAGCTGTACCCTACACGTTACGTTTAATCGAGCAAACATTTTATAACCTCGGGACAAAAACCATAATCAGCCGCGGACAATTGGTCGGTCGGTTGTAACTTCATGTGCTTCCACATAACTGAATTTGCGTATTACAACGCGGCATCACGTGCGGAGTGCACATTATATTTATATAAATACAAATATGTCATACTCGTGCGGTTTCTCTCGGTTGACTATATGCACAATACACCAGAACTCGTACGTTGCACCGGCATGCACGTTTCATTATACGTCAATTTGCTGTTTCATTTAGCGCACAATTAGCACCCGCAAGGAGGTGATCGACTCGCCACCCGACATATGTATACATACATACGGAAGAAAGGACAGGACAATATGCGGAATCCGTTATAATGTACTTGTATATATATATACCTGCATGTACGCATACCACAGTGGACAAAATACGAGAGTGATTTATACTATAACGACGCGCTCTTAATTGGAAAAATCAATAAGGTCTCCTACACGCGTGATGCATTGGCGCAATATATCCAAGTGGCCATTTTACTGTTTGATCTCGATGTCACGTATCGGTAATCAGTGTATAGATCCGTGGTTTATACGCGGAGAAAACCAGAGTACATTGTCTGTATAACAGAGGTGAAAGGCGTGTGCCCGCGAACATTATACGTATACCATACGCTCTTTTATGTATACGTCGTATGGACATAAAAATTAAAACTCGACTTTTGGTGGGAGGGATACGGCATTGGTCCATTGTTATTATGATCATTATTGCTATTCGACGATGAAAGTCCGAAGATGGAAGGAAATGACCTTACACCGTGAAAATAGCAAGAGTACCCACCGCTCGATCCCCGTGGCGGTCTTTTTTTTCCCTTTTCCTTTTTTTTTTTTTTTTTCTCATTGAGCAAAAAACACAGGGACGTGCTCTCGAGAGATACTTATGGGGGTCAGTGCTCCCTCTCGATTCGCTCGAAA